TCTCCCTGTAGCCTCAGCTGACCAGGTTGGACTTGAACTCACAGAGATCTGCCTGCCTCAGCCTCCTGAGTGCTTGGATCACACCACACCCAGCCCTGATGCCCTCTTCTGACCTCCATGGGCATTTCACAACATAGGTACACTTATACACTTGCCAGCAATATACTCATACACATAAAGCAAAAATAATAAAACTTTTTAAAAAGAATTAAAAGCCAAAAGCGATCTGCAGCCAACTTACCATGAGCATCTAAAAAAAAAAAAAAGAATTAAAAAAAAAAAGAATATTCAATCTGTGTTGGCACTAGAAAATGTAGTGGCTATTCAGAAGATAAAACAGCAGATTCCACCCAGAGACAGTTTTCCCTTTGGAGAGAAAAGAAGGCCTTAAAGATTTTAGAGAAATGTTTCAGGTCATTTTATTACAAGTCAAAATTTATTACAGTTTTGTTGCCAAGGGAGGACCTACCAGGAGAATAATTCAAAGGAACTTGGTAGGGACATCTGAAAAAAATGTATTGTTTATTACACCATTGCCTTCATAGAGGAATTTGCATAGTCAAATATATAGCTTGATGCAGTTTTACATATATAGACATCAACCCAGACCATGGTATAGAACATTTGCAAATCAGAAAGTTCCTCAGGCTCTGTGATGGTTGAAATTGATCGTTAACATGATATGATCTATAATCGCCTAGAAGACCAGTCTCAGGGCATGTCTGTGAGGGAGTTTCTAGACTGATGTTGTAGAATAAGGTCGTCTGAGCAAAGTAGCCACCATCTTCATCAGATCATCTGTGCCTGCTTGCAAGAGACCATCATAAGATGATGTTAGAAATAAATTCAGGGTCACAAAGAGAGATCACCACTCTAGCTGAAAGTGTCTTGGCAAGGCAAACTTTATTCCTGATCAGAAGGGTGCAAATCTCACAAGAATGAAGGAGCAAGCACACACGGTTGAGATGGTCTTCCTCTTCCTCTTTTATCCCTGATGCAAAAGAGAGCTTGGCTGTTCATCATTGGTCAAGGTTCAGTCTACAATGTAAACCCAATGGGAAGCCCTTTATTAAAATCTTTTGGCATCTGGAAAGGCACTTAGCTAACGTCTAAGAGTCACAAAAGGAAGACTATTGTGGATGAAAAAAACAAGATAGGTTAAGGGAGCAAAAGCTTTCCCACAGTGTCACTATGAGACCTACAAAAGGGACATGGGAAATGAATGCTACAAGTTACAATTGACAGAAAGACTCATTTTTAATGCTATTAACACTTAGATGTTTGCACATGCTCTACGTATCTGATTATTACTAGTCACAGTTGGTTACACTCGGATCCTTGGCACCTGAGTATATATATAAAATCATCAGGTAGATTTCAATGGTAATGTTTATCACCTCTACTAATTAACGTGAAGTAAATTTTTATGCTTCTTCAAATATAATTCATTTTTAGAATTTGTTGATTTGTGTGTGCGTGTGTGTGTGTGATACAGAACATCCCAAACAATATCTATACACCCACTTCCCAAATGGCACCCTCCCATAGCCTCCCCCATCCCACTGGAGCCCATATACTCTGTCACCCCTGTTACTGTCCACTGTTTTGTTGGCGCCCCCAGCTGTTCCCCAGTGCTTGTCCATCTGCTGAATCTAGTCAGCCTATCTAGAGAGCCTTGTTTTAGGAAGATCAGCTGTTCCTCATCTAGCAGCAATCAGTTGTCAATATTCCTTTAGATAAGATTGGGGTCTGCTGTTCATTTTCCCAGTTCTATGCTGGGTTACTGTCTGGGAGTCTCTTGGGCCATCCTGGCCAACAACTCAAAGGAAGGTATGTCCTGTCTGACATTGTTTCTTGTTATGTAGCCTTTACTTATACACATGGACTCTTAAGAAATTATATTGACCCCTTTAATCTTTGGTTATACTTTCCTTTTGGGTGTTTAAGACCGTACAGTTGGCCCAGATAAACCAATTTATTTTTACTCCTAAGGTTGTTTGAGGATCTGTTCCTCAGGGGTCACATGGGCTTGGGAGTCTTTCTGTAGGAAATAGTAAATTTTAAAATGAAATGGAGATCTTTTTTAAAGGTTAAGACCTCATCCAATTTTATGTCTTATAGGGTTTATAATGAGTTCAATATTGTATAACTGTATTAATTCAACTGTGAACCTAAAAATTTACAGCCACTTTTGAAAGAAATGTATCTTGGCTCTGGAAATTGTTTTTGAATATGCTAAAGCTGTAATGAAATGCTTCTTTTAATCATCTGGTTATTAAATAAGTAACTAAAAAAAAAATCAAGTTGCAATTGCCAGGTTACAAAACAAATAATAGTTTCAACAAGGACATTGAAGAGAAAGACATACATGTAGTTTCAATACATTTTTTTTTTCTTTTTGAGACAGGGTCTCTCTGTAGCCCCCACAATTGGCCTGGAACTCACTGTGTAGACCAGGCTGGCCTCAGTCTCACAGAGGTCGGCCTACTTCTGTCTACCAGGTGTTGAGAATAAAGGTATGTGCCACCATGCCCAACCTAGCCCATATTTTAAAGTAAAATTTTTAATGGGCATATTTCTCTCTCTACCTGTGTGATTTAAAGCATTTTTTTACTTATTTATTTTGTGTGCTGTAGCGCACATGTAGAGGTCATAAGACAACCTGTGGGAGTTAGCTGTCTGCTTTTTCCATGTGGACCCCAGGGACTGAACTCAGGTCCTCAGGCCATCTCATAGGCCCTACCTTTGTAACTTTAATAAAAATTATATACATAGGAGAAGAATTAGAAGGAAAAATGCCACAATTTTTTGAAGTTAAAAAATTTTTTGGTCTTTTTGAGACAAGGTCCAGCTGGCCTAGGACTCACTATATAGATCAGGCTGGCCTTGAACTCACAGAGATCCACTTGCATCTGCCTCTAGAGTGCTGGGATTAGAGGCGTGTGCCACCACACCCAGCAAAAATGTCATAATATTAACAGTGACTAGCCAAGTGCAGGCCTGTAATCCCAGCATCCAGGCACTTGGGAGGCAGAGGCAGGAGAATCAGCAGTTAAACATCATTCTTAGCTTTATAGAAAGTTCAGAGCCTGCCTCAAACCTACAACAAATATATGTATATGTGTATAATATGTGTGTGTATGAGCAGTAATGAGTTTCATTCCAGGTGGTGGAAATATAGTGATTATTTTTTCATTGTACTTTTTTCAGTCTTTTAAAATATCTGGCGCTCGTGAGATGGCTTGGTGGACAAAGGTACTTGCTGCCAGGCTTGATGACCTGAGTTCTATCCTCAGGACCCATATGGTGGAAAAAGAAAACCGTTTCCAGCAAGTTGCCCTCTGCCACAGCATGCCCTCCAAATAAACAAATAAATAAATAAATAAATAAATAAATGTAATTAAAAATGTGTATGCATATATCAACATTCAAAGATACTTAAAAATATTGTTAAAAGCAAAAAAGTAAACAAAAGACAAAAAAATCCAGCTGCATATCTATATTGATTTGTATCTTAATAACTATTTATATACCAGCCCATACAGAGTAAAAACAAAACTGCTTTCCATGGAGATATACATCCATAGAAACGGACAGCAAAAGATCTGAAAGGATGTAGACTCAGTTGATAATAGTGGTTACTTCTGCAGAGGAAACGCATGGGTCAAACGTCAAAGAATTTGCTTTATCTCTCTGCAAAGTTTTAATGTTTGTGTAATAACAATTTAAACACTAAATTTCTCAGAACTGTGCAGACCAGCTGTCGTGGCTCAGCTATCCGAGCCGGGTACAGGTACTGCAGGATCAATCTCCCGAGATACCTAATCTGGGTCATGTGGGTTATTCGTGCGTTACCAGTCCTGTTAACCGTCTGACAGCACAATTCTTAAAACTTTTTTTTTTTTTTCTATAAAACCTGTTTAACAGCCCGGAACCTAAATATGGAGCAAATATTTTATTTAAAGTATTGGCAGCTTTATGGTATTATTTACAGTAATATGTACTAGTATTAGGTAAAACACTAATCCAATAAAAAATATTTTAAAAACAACGATTTTACGTAAGAACATTAAATAGCTTCTTAGAAAGCTCCATTGACATCTGGGTAGCGTGGCCGAGCGGTCTAAGGCGCTGGATTAAGGCTCCAGTCTCTTCGGGGGCGTGGGTTCGAATCCCACCGCTGCCAAGAACTTTTAGATCTAAAATTTAATTCGACGGTTTAGTGGCTTTCCAAATTCGCCATTTGTACTGAACGGTACAAATCGTGGTTCGAAATCAAAGCAGTGGAGTGCGTTCCTCTCTCTGTTCTGGTGTCTTTGAACAGGTGCAGACAGTGCGAAGTCTCCTACAGTTAAAAAAAAAAAACTCTCTTGCACTGTGTAAAAACAGTTACCAATGTTTCCGCCCGGTTTCGAACCGGGGACCTTTCGCGTGTTAGGCGAACGTGATAACCACTACACTACGGAAACTTACGAACAGCACGCCCACAGAAACCCTATTGCTGTTAGTGTTCAGCCTTCTATGAACCTAGGTTGTGGTTTTATGGGATTGTGATGGGAAAAAATCCACAAGCATTGCGACTGCAGCAGGACATTCCGCATTCACTCTCTTACGGGGTATCTGATTCTGTTCCATCCGGGCTCTATCCCGACCCCCCAGAGCTCCAGGATCTTGGTGGTGCGCCCCTGAGCACTGCGCAACGCCAGAACTGTCATAAATATGTGTTTGCCCCTGAGCACTGCCCAACACCAGAACTGTCATAAATATGTGTAAAACACACGGGGGGTAGCGTGGCCGAGCGGTCTAAGGCGCTGGATTAAGGCTCCAGTCTCTTCGGGGGCGTGGGTTCGAATCCCACCGCTGCCAAGTGTGATATATTTTGCGGCTCTGTTCCATTTTGCGACTGCAACAGCGACCCCTGCCGACGGTTTGTGTTCTCTACACCTCGAATGGATCGGCGGAGGGGCGGGTCGCGAGCGCCGGGGCGGGGCATTGTGGGTAAGAGGAAGCGCGAGGGCCGGCCTGCTCCCCCCACGTGTCGGCGGAGTTTCTTCAGCAGCAACATGGCCGCTGCCTGATAGGAGATCCGGCCGCCGCCGTCTCTGCAGCCCGTGGGTTCCTGGGCCGTTGCCGCCGCCCGCGCGCGGCCCCAGCAGAGAGGTGGGTCTCGACTCGGCAGCCCCGGGGCTCGGGTCGCAGCCGCCGCAGTCGTGCAGGGGGTTCGGGCCGCACTGCCCGGTAGGCCGGGAGGCCCGCGCCGCTGCGAGCCGAAGGATAGGCGGCTCCGGGACTCGGGCGGGGAGCACTGGCAGCGGCCCCGGGACCCCGGCCGTCTCTGGGCCCGGCTGCGGGCCGGGCGCTGACTCAGGCCCCGGCCGTCCTGCCCCTCCCAGGCTCGCATCGGAGCCGCACCTGTGCGTGGCGGCTCGCGGGGGGCGTGGGAAGGGGCCGAGCACCCACCCGCGAGCCGGCGACCGGCACTGCACGCCGGGGCGGCCGCCGGGACGGGAAGACACGATGCCCGCGGCCTTCGGGTGCTGCCTCAACCGAACCGGGCGGGCCGTGCCGGGCCAGGCCCCGAGCGCCTCATTCATTGGCCGGCGGCTGGAGAGCTGGTGGGTGCTGCGGGGACGCCCCCGACCGCACAGCCACGAAGGGGGGACGGCGCATAAACAAGGTCGTTCTGGCCTGTCAGACGTCGTGGGGCCTGGGACTCAAGGCTAAGATCCTAGGCGTCGCCACAGTTGTCTCATCTGTGAAATGGGGATGAGGAGTTTCTGTCTTTCGAGGTCTGATAGGGTAAGATAGGTTGACGCTCCTACTTGCAGTCTCCTTCATTTGCGTCTGTCTCATCTCGTCTTACATTGGAAGAAAACATGTTGCCACGCAGTAACAGTCCTTCCTATAGGTTCCATATATTCCTTATTCCGTCCCCCTCCAAGTCCTTTGGAAGCCAGTGTCGGTGTTATTCCCGTTTTAAGGATGAAAATAGGAAAGGACCCAAGGATATAGAACGTACAGCGGCAATCAACTGGCAAGGAGTAGAGGTGGGATTTGAACCTGTACAGTTCCGCGTGGAAGTCCAACCTCTTACCCACTATACCATACTGCCTTTTATCAAGGAGATGTGCAGCATAGTGGTTAAGAATTAAAAACAAGGCTCTTTGGCATCAGACCTGGATTTTTAAATAACATGGTTCTCTGGTGCCGTGACCTTGGGCAAATTAATCTCTGAGCCTGTTTCCTTTTTTCTAAATTAGGCGTGCTAAATTTTGACTTACACAGCTATAATTTTTTGGTGCTACATCGGTGCCAGATGCCGTTAGGGAATGGGCAAGAGCAGTGAATTTTTTAAAAAAGTAACTAATCCCATAACAACTTGGTGAAGTGTAATAATTATCCTCACTTTATGGCTGAGGAATCTAAAGCATTGAGAAGCCTTCATGGAGTTTAAAATCTAAGTGCAGAAGGCAGCCAACCAGTGGGTTCCAGGTCAGAACCATTCAGGAAATACATCAAAGAGTTCTGTGAGTGACTGAAAGGGATTGAAAGAGACTGTTTAAATTACTAAGGGAACCTGTCTAGTCCTGGAGAGGGTGGCAGTGGTTACATCCACTGAAATGGAGCTCCTGGAAAAGTCCTGGGGCAGAGAGGTGTTGTGCACAGATCCTTAGACCTGCTTGGGCTGTTGGAGGCCCAGCAGTTGGTCTCTAGGGGTCGGGGGAGGTGGTTAGGGGGAGGCAAGGTTTCGATCCTGTGGGCCTTAGGGCCCATGGAAAAGAGTTTGGATTTTGTTTTATGGGGCAGTTGAAGGGTTTGGAGCGGGACAATGGTGTGCTTTATGCTATCACAAGGACTGGCAGTCTCTGGGAGACTTGGAGGAAGAGAAGAGTGACTGATAGAAGCCTTTGGCTTGTTTTTTGCTTTTTTTATTTTTTGAGATAGTCTTGCAATGTAAATAGCCCAGAGTAGCCCAGAGTAGCCTCAGACTTCTGCCTCAGCCTCCCAAGCACTAGTATTACAGGCGTGAGCCACTGTACCCAACTCAAGAAGCTTGTTGGATCATTCTGTAAAGATTGCAAGTAAAATTTATTAGTGAATGAAGTAAAACCAGCATGGGGGATTGACACCAGCATTTTAGTTTTGCATGAACAAGGATAGAAAGCATCACTGCATGGCATGTAACAGTCATGTTGTATGAAGTGCTGCCTCAGTTATGGGATCATGCATAAGTTCTGGGTCACTGATAAGAACAGATTCATTTCTGTGGGTCATAGGTTGAAAGCTGAAAGCCAGTGAATCGGATCCTGGGCTCAAGGGTGGTGACAGCCTTTGCAGTAACCTAATGAAGTGTGGTGTCCAGAGGGAGGAGCCTCTGTCCTCCAGCTGAGAAGGCCACCTCACCCTCCCTGATGGCCTGGCTGGTCAGATGCCCCTAGGGCAGAATAGGAGCTGTGATAGAACAGTTGGGACCTGGAAACCTCCCAGGCCACCCTCTGCTGCCTGTGCTCAGCTCTCTCACTCCTGTATTAGTTAGTTACCAAGTCTAGGTGGCTACTGGGAGGGTGGCCTGACACATCTGTGGCACCCGGCGGCCAGTTAAAGCAATGCTTGGATAGTTCAGCCCTTCAGCCCTCCATGTCTTGAACTGTTGTGATGGTCCATTTCCCTCCAGCCTGACTTCTCCCCATTCCAGATTTTCCTTTGCTCAAAATCCTTCTGGTGCTCCCTGCTCCACAGCATCCCCTAGGTCTGTATTTCAGATGACAGATAGCTATTCTGTGCCTGCTGAGTGCTAGGTAGTAGGGGTACAGCACAGGACAGAGTAGACTAAAGTGCCTGCCTGCATATAGCTTACAGCAGCAAGGACAGATAGAGCAGAAACTGCCCTATGCTGTCATATGCTGTGGTGACAAGAGCAAGGAAGGGAGTTGTGGGGCAGTTTGCAGTTTAAAAATGAGGGGCAGAACGCACTGCATGGTATCTGCACTCAGCAGCTCCCTCCTGCTGGTGTGTTCAAAGAACAGTGCGATAGAAATTCACTGGCATCACTGTTTTTCTTGGATTTAGTACCTATTAAACCTGGTATTTCTATTGATGCAGTTGCATATTAAAAAAAAAATGGGGGGCAGAGGCCACTATAGAGCTGAGGTGACATTTGAGCAAAACTCTGAAAAAAGTACAGGAAAGAGCCTGGATGAGATCAGGGTGTTAGAAGAGTTACTCTGGCCCCCAGTGGATTGGGAAGGGATAGGAACATCAGAGTTGGTCTGAGCTAAATGGACAAGGCCTGTTGAGGTTTGTGGGGGACCATGAAGGCCTTCTGTGAGTGAGATGGGGAGCCCTGGGAGGCATGAGATACCATCTGAGGGTTGAATAGTGATCCTAGGAGACAGGGAGGACCCAGAAGACCAGCCAGGAGGCTATCACTGATCTAGGGAAGGAATGAGCTGGCTGCACCGAGGTGTAGCCTCCATGACTGGGTTCCTGCCTCTTGAAGGCAGACCTGACAGGATTCGCTGGTGTGGAGCGAGAGGGAGAGAAGCGGCAAGGATGGTTGCAGGTGTTTGTGCCTGGGCAGGCTCAAGTGTGGACTGAGTCTGTAATACATGATTTCAGGTCGGGGCCCAGCTGGTACTGATGCTCGTACTAAAGGTATATTTATGTACCTCTCAGTTTTTCATTTGTTTTGTTTTGGTTTTTGGTTTTTGAGAAGTCTTAACTATATAGCCCTGTCTGGCCTGGAACTTGGTATATAGACTGGGCTGGCCTTGAACTCACAGAGCTCTGCCTGCTTCTGCCTTCCAAATGCTGGGAATTAAAGGTGTGCAACATCATGCTCCTTTAAGTCTCAAACTGTTCAGATGTGAGGGGAATGAAAGTGGGGTGCTCTTACTCAGGAACTGAGGGGTGGCTGCAGGAGAGGTGGAAGCCTGCTGGTGTCCCCCCGCATCTGCTTATCTGAACTCCCCTTTCTCCAGCTTGCCAGGCTTTTGTTCTTCTCATCCTTCAAGGCTACCCACATGACCCTCCTGAGCAGTGGGGCCCCTCCCGTCATTGAACTCCCCTCCCACAGCAACAACCAAGACCTAGATTTGAAGTCCAGTAGTCATCTTGCTATTGTGTGACTTTGGATAAACACCTGTAACCTCTCTGAATTCAGTCTCTGATTCAAGCCTCTCAGAGCTTGTTGACTTGAGAGAAACGATAGGAAGAGGGTAATTTTGACAGCACAGCACAGAAGAGTTGGCAAACTGGAATTTAGGGTGAGAGTCAGTCTCCTGCAAGGCCTGTGGACTGCAAGACAGCTGGTTCTTTCATATTTCCATTTGCCTTCAGGTCTCCAGTTTTTCAATTGTGTTTGTGGACCACCAGCTTTCCTCTTGAGGCCTGACTGGGAGTTAGTTCTTAGTGAATGGTTAAGAAACTTGTAAGGAGCTGAAGAGATGGCTCAGTAGTTAAGGCCTAGCTGCTCTTACAGAGCACCTGGATTTGGTTCCCAGCACCCACATGGCATCTTAACAATCATCTGAAACTCCAGTTTCAGGAGACCCGACACCCTCCCTCTTCTGCCTTCTGTAGGCGTTGCATGCATAGGTGTTCTTGTATGCAGGCAAAACACTCATACACATAAAATAAAAATAAAGAAAAAAAGAATTAAGAAGCCTGTAAAACTGGGTCCTTAATTGTTTTCCTCAGGGCTTGTTCTCCCTCCGTACTGCTACTGTCCCACAGATACAGAAAGGAGCTTGTGTGTTGTCTTGGGCTCCTGTTCCCTGCACAGCACCTGTGGAGGAGTTGGTGCCCCGGAAGGTTGGTTGAATGACTTGTTGATCATCTAGGTCTCTTGGTTTCTTTGCAGGTCAAGTTGAGGACTGTGTGGCTGGTTTTCCCTAGTATGGCCAATGAAGAAGATGACCCAGTTGTACAGGAGGTAACTGCTGCTGTCCACCCTTTGCTAGGCCACAAGCTAACAGGGCCAAATTTCTTCTATGTGTCTATAGGCCAGTCTGGGACCTGTTGGTGATCTAGGGACCCTAGACCTTGCTGTTGCCTCTGCTGTGCTTCAGACACCTGCGTGGCCAACTTTTCTCTCCCTTGAGGGCCATAATACAGCAGCTCCTGATCTTAGAGGCCTCCTCTGACACTCCTGGACTTTACCTCCATAGCTTTCTGCCTCTATACCACTGTCTGTAAAGCCAGCCTGAGGGACTGGCACTGAACAGACGTTAGTGACTGAAAGGGGCTGGGAACTTCTGTTCCTGCACTTCTCAGACTCTCTGTTCAGCAGTTCTTTGCTCCATCCACTGTGTACCAGCTTCTAGGCTAAGGATGGGACAGATAGGAATCTCAGGATGCAGACTGTGAGGAGACAGGTTCCAGGCTCTATGCATAAAGAGAAAGTTGTTTGTTGTCAACAAGAGTCCTTTCAGTCTAAGTCCTAGACTTTTGGAAGGCAATAGGCAAAATGACTGTATCTGCCCCAGCCTCCCTGGGTGGTTCTGGAGCCCAGCCTGAGGCCAAAGGGTCTAGAGACCATCCCTAGAGAGGCAGAGTGGTTCTTCTTTGTTTGGGGGATGCTACTCATTACGTTTTTAGATTTGAGTTATTTAAGTGCACTTAAGCTTAACTACACTACAGAAACCAAGTTACCACAAGGGCTGATTGGTGACAGCACAGAGGGAGTCCCCCTCTGCAACCAGGAGACCCCGGTGAGCTTCTGTTCAACTGAGTCTGTAAGGATGAGTGAATTGTTGGCATGTGTGAAGGACACTCCAGGAAGAGTAAGGAGTGTGTGCAGAGTCCAGGGGCAGGAGAGAACATAGTTCATGTGCAGAGCTGGGAAGCAGGAGGCAAACTCTTGCTGTTGAACAGTGTAGGGTAGTCTGTGCTAGGAAGAAAGAAGGGGAAACAGGTAGGTTACACAGGCCTTTCAGACCACTTTAAAACAGCCAGTCCAGGAGAGGTAAAGTAGGAGAAGGTACAGAGAGGAAACAGGGAGGCAGAGGGAACCCCACCCCCAACTCCCAAGCACTTTCTCCTCCTCTAGGAGGCATCCAAGTCCAGGCAGCACAGGGAAGGTGTGTTCTTCCCAGGTTATAGTGATCGTGGGTAGGGGTAAAATGAGCTCTGGTCCTGGTCCCCTGGTAGCTTTTGGGAGGGAGTCTTGGATATACTCAGCTTGAAGGCCTGGCCTGATTGCCTCTTAGCATGAACTGAGCTTTTTTCCCTTCCTCAAACTACTATTGTGAGCCACTGCCGCTAACTGAATGGGCTAGGTGTCTTGGCTAAGTCTTTTCCCCTTGTTCCCAGATTGACGTGTACTTGGCCAAAAGTCTGGCGGAGAAGCTGTACCTGTTTCAGGTAATGGTGACTTGAAGGTAAAGGGGAAGCCAATGTTGAGTGAGTGGTGGTGGTGGACAGGAGGCATGGGTGATCTCAGCCTGTAGTGTCATAAGCTAGTTCTTTTTTCTAAGTTGGGTTAGTGAGTCTCTCTTCTAAGATGGGAAGATGAAGCAACATATGGGAGGCAGAGTGAACAACCAGTAGAGCTGGGCTCTGGGCCATAATGTCAGATCAAAACCTCGCCCCAGCTCTGTCAAGACTAAGCTTCTAGCCCTTGAGCAAATTCCTTATTTCTCTCTGTCTCAGTTTTTTTCATTTGCAAAGTGGGGATCTTCAAAATGCCTGCCTTTTGGGGCCCTGTGAGGATCGGTGAATCCACATGAAAATGCTTAGACCACTACCCGGGGAAGAGTTAGTGCTGACAGTGACCACTGCTGCTAGTGTGGAGGTTCAGAGGGGCTTCCAGAGCAGCCTGTGGCCATGAGCAGCCTTGGGCCTGCCACCTGTGTTCCCAGACATGTTACCCTCCACTGCTTCCCATGTGGCTAGCATGTATTGTGCATCTACTGTATACTAGTACTGTTTCCATAAGTTAACTCAGTCCCGTAATGACCCTACGATGGTGGTTGTGATAGTCTTCAAAGCTTTACTGAGGTACAACTTACACACCAGCCCATTCCCACATTTAAGCAAATCATGCTGGAGCTTTTAGCCTATTTGGAGCGCCGTGCAGCCAGCACCACTATCTCTTTTAAAATGTTTGTTCCTCCAAAAGAAACCCTGTAGTTGTTTAGTCAGCCCTTACCCCAGCCCCAATTCCTACTTTGCGCACCTAGGCAACCATTACCTTTGTGCCTGTGGCGTTGCTCTTCTGAACCTCTCAATGTAGGTGAACAGCATGTGTGGCCTTTCGTAGTAGCTTCGTTCCTTGTAGAGCTCACCCAAGTTGTAACTTGCATCAGTATTTTTTATTTTTGTTTTTTTTTTTGTTTTTTGAGACAGGGTCTTACTGTGCAGTCCTGGCTGGCCTGGAATGCCTCAAACTCAGAGATCCACCTGCCTCCGCCTCTTGAGTGCTGGGATTAAAGGCATGCGTAACCACATCTCACATAGTGTTTCATTTTTATGGGTGAAAAATGTTCATGGTGGGGCTGGGAAGCTGGCTTAGTCAGTGAAGTGCTTGCTGTGCAAGTATGAAGACCTAAGTTTGATCCCCAGAACCCACGTGAAAAAAGCAGGTGTGGCGGTGTGCAGTTGTAATTCAGTGCTGGGGAGGCAGAGACAGGGGCTCGCTGACTGGCCAGCCTAGCCTACTTAGTGAACTCAGGCTAATGAGAGACCCTATCTCAAAAGACGAGGTGGGTGGCGCCTGAGGAATGACATCCCAGGTTGTTCTCTGACCTCCACACACATACACTCATATACCTACAAACTTAGCCATTGCGGCTGTCCTATAGTTTGTTCACCTCTTCATCAGTTAGTTGATGGCTATTTGGGTTATTTGTGCTTTGTGGCTCTCCTTAATAACGTTCTATGAACATCGTTTGCATGTATACATGTTTTAGTGTGGACCTGTGTTTTCATCTGTCTTGGCTGTACCTATGTGTGAAGTAGCTGAACATATGGTCATACTGCATTTAACTTTTTGAGGACCTGTTTGGATATTTTGCACCATTTTACATTCTCAATAATAAGGCAGTTATCAGAAGCACTTTGCTCCTGTCTTGCACATGAGAGAATGAGATGGTGAGGCTCATGAGCTCTCCAGGCCTGGGACAGGGGCAGCAGCAGGGCTCCATGCTGCTATTCATGGAGAAGATGCTGCCGTTCATTCCTCAGGGTTCATCTGCATCCTTGAGTGATTGCAGTCATTGATAGTGGTTCCATGTGTGTCCATTGAACCTGTGGCTCTGCCATGTCTCATAGCAGCCCTGGGAGGGAGAACAAGGTAACAAGTGGCAGAGTCAGGACTACCAGCTCTCTCAGCTCTGGGTTGGGTGACCTCAGAGCTCTAGGCCTCCTGAGCTGTTGTGGGAGGGCCTGTCCCACTCAGTGCTGGTTCTTTTAAGGACTCTGCCCAGAGTAGCTGTGCTCTAGGCTGTTCTTCCCCACAAAGCTGCCCTCCTCCAGCCAGAAGCAGAGAGGAGCTGGTGTTGCTACTGAGTAGCTTTTAGGAAATGACCGCTTCCTAGGCTGAAATGTGGCTGCCACACTCCACCAAGCACACTGCAGAGACTATTGGAAGCTAGGCAGTGATAGCTTGAGCTGAAGGGGCTGGAGAAGTAGTTCATTGCTTATCCATCAGCAGCTCCTGGAGGGAAGAGGAAAGGGAAAGTGTGAGAACTCACAAGAGAAAGTTCTGTGTACTCAGAGAAAGCCCTAGAGTGCAAGCCATTTGCATAAAGGTAACCTTACAGGGGCAAGAGGTGTATTGTGAAAAGTGTAGGCATATCGCTGAAGCGAGAGAGTTGGGTCCACTGTCCGGGTCAGCCCCCAGCTGTCCTAGGCCTTACTAGTTTTACCTCTTTTTTTTTTTTTTAACGTTACAAAAACTTTACTGAGGATTTCATGCATGCATATAAGGTGTTTTGATCAAATCCACACCCACTCCCTCCCTTCCAAAATTCCCCCCTCTGAAGAGGTAACCCTAAAATCTTTTAGGGATTAGATACACGCTCCCAAATACTTCTGACATTTGGACATTTTTGGCCTTTGGAACAGAGTGTGTTGCTAACAGGCCCAAGGACATTGTGACTTTTGTTTTACCTCTTGGCCTGTTCTTCAATTTCTCACCTCAGTAACCTACAAAGTGGCAGTGTGTCCTTGGGTCCCTACTGTCAATTCCTACATCTAGAGCCTCATGCCAGTTTGACTTCCTGGGGCTCAGGCATGCCCCCGAAAGTCAAAGACAACCTAAAGTTGCCCTGTGGAAGGAGGTTCAGAGGAGCTGGTGTGAAAGGAATTGCAGGTGGAGACTGTAGGGGATCCCCCGTGTAGGACAGATTGGGGACCTGGGTTCTCTGGTCTCTGATGGGGGTAGGGGTGGGAGTGGGGATGGGGATGGCCTATTGATCCTTTACTGGAGCCCTCGAAGCCCAGCTCCAGGTCAGGATGGACTGATGGCTGCCTTCCTGTCCCTAGTACCCTGTGCGTCCAGCCTCGATGACCTACGATGACATTCCACATCTCTCAGCCAAGATCAAGCCCAAGCAGCAGAAGGTGGGGCTGTGCTCCATGATGGAAGTGGGGTGCAGAGGGGAAATGGGGGCTGATGGAGGAAAGAAGACAGGTGCTTTGGGGACTGGAAACTCAGAGAAGGATCGGTGGAAGGATTAGGAGAATAGCTGTCTTGAGAGCCAAGGAAGGAAAGTGTTCTGAGGAGGAGGGAGAGGCAGCTCCAGGCTGGATGAGGCTCAGAGTCAGTTGGAGAATAGGCTGGGCAGAAGCCTGGTGCCCGGCTCAGGCACAGGTGAGTATGAAGCAGGCCAGATGGAGGAAGCTCCTGTACCCATAGGGGATAGGGACAGTAGGAGAAAATGCTGAGACAGATACCCGCCTGTGGGATGCTATGGCTCTCACTCCTTGAGGTCACAGGGGAAATGCTGTTTCAGGATTGCCATTTCCACTAAGATTTCAAGTGAGATGGAGATGACATCTTGATTTCAGAATTTCTCAATCAGATTTTGGGGGATGTAGGGAGGGTTAGGCAAGACTCTGTGTATCTCTACCCCCAAAAGACACTATTGTATTTCTTTTGGAATTTGGTTGGTGACTTCTAGTGTGAGCTGAAGCCCAGGGACCCATGGGAAAGCAGTCCAAGCTTCTGGGTAGGGACCTGGCTGGGAGTGTCCCTGGGGAGCAGTGCCATGACATCCTCCTAGCTGGGCTGTGTTCTGTGCCTCCAGGTAGAGCTTGAGATGGCCATTGACACCCTGAATCCCAACTACTGCCGCAGCAAAGGGGAGCAGATCGCATTGAATGTGGACGGTGCCTGTGCGGACGAGACCAGCACATACTCCTCGTGAGTCCCCAGCCTGCAGAGTTCTGCTGAAGCCTCAGAGGCATTGGTTGCTTCTGCCCCATCACTGGATTCCCCATCATAGTCCCTGCCTGTGACAGGGCCTGTTGTGGACCCTTCCCTCTGGAGTTGATTCTTCTTGCTAGGCTCTTCTGGGCTACAAGGGACACTGGCCTTTAGAGGTCCTGCCCACCACTCATCTCTTGGTTGGTGGACAGGACTGCGGGTTTTCTCACCCTGTGGGCCCTAGCTGGTACAGTACATCTTAGACGGTGTCAGGTGGAGTAGACTGGGCCCAGTAGGCCCTGTTCTGAGCTTTCTTTGCCTTGACCCTAGTTCTCCTTATGCTCTCAGGAAGCTGATGGACAAGCAGACCTTCTGCTCCTCCCAGACCACCAGTAACACATCCCGTTATGCAGCTGCACTCTACAGGCAAGGTACCCAGGGCTGGATGTCCCAGGGGAGGGTGCAGGGTATGCTGGGCCTACAGAACCTCACCCAACCTAGGTCTCCTCTGCCTCCACCTAACACTAAACCCTGTGGGATCGAGGCAGTATAGAAATGATAAACTAGAGTCAGGGCACTGGAAGATATACCTGGGGATTCTGTTGGTCACTCCTAACTTGATAGAGTTTAGGCTTCAAGGTCAGTTTGCTCCTGAGACACAGATGCACACATACAACATAACTATGGGGACAGCTGGCAGAATTTTGTCTTTTAAGCACAGGGTACTCTGAGGCAGTGTCTACTCAGGACTAATGAAAACATGTCCTTGTAAAACCTTGGACACAGGTGTTCATAGGAACTTTATTCATGAGAGCCAGAATGGAAGCAATCCAGGGCCCATCAAGTGATCCATTTGAAACTAAACATGGCCTGTTCACCCAACAGCCTTAACTGACCATGTGAAGGAGTACATGTGCTTTAATATGGATGAATCTTGATAAACTCATGGAAGAAGCCAGGCTCAGAAAACTGCATGCTACTTGTCTTAATTTCCTGTTGCTGTGATAAAATACGTTGACAAAAGCAACGTAAGGGAGAAAGGCTTATTTGACTCACAGTTCCAGGCTACAGTGCATCATTGTGGTTAAGCCAGGGCAGCAGGAACTTGATGCAGCTTGTCACATCCACAGCCAAGAGCAGAGAGCAGCGAATGCATGCATCCTAGGACTCAGCTTACTTTCTCCACTCCAGTCCCCCAGAGTGGGCAGGCAGGTCTTCTCTTAAAATTAGTCTGCGCAGAATGCCCACAAGCTAGCCTAATTTAGAAAACCCTTCTTTGAGACTCCCTTCCCAGGTGTTTCTAGATTGTGCCAAGTTGACAAAACTAACCATCATATACATGATCCCATTTTTTAAAAATTTTAATTATTTTTTAAATATTCTATTTTTATTATTTTTTGTGTGTATGAGTGCATTGCCTGCATGTATGTGAGTGCACCCGTGTCATGCAATGCCGCAGATATCAGAAAAGGACGTCGGATTTCCCTAGACCTGGAGTTAAGGACAGATCGTAGCCACCATGTGGGTGCTGGGAATGGAACCCGGGTCCTCTGTAAGAGCAGTCAGTACTCTTAACCGCTGAGCCATCTCTCCAGCCCCTAAATTTTATTTTTATTTTATGTGTATGGGTGTATTGCCTGCATGTATATAAGTGCACCTGTGTTGTGCAGTGCCTGCAGAGGACAGAAGAGGGTGTCCGAGCCCATGGAACTGGAGTTATGGACAGTTGTTAGCTGCCATGTGGATTCTGGGATTCAAACCTGGGTCTTCTGCAAGAATAGCCAATGTTCTTACCCACTGAGCCATAATCTCTCCAGCCCCATGATCCCATTTGTACAGATAAACAAATCTGTAGAGATAAAAACCAGTGAGTGGTTTCTAGGGGCAAAGAGAGGATGGCATAGTTCTTTTTGGAGTGATGGAAATGTGCCAAAATTGAGAGTAGTGCTGGTTGCACAACTCTGGGAGAATATATTAACCTACACTGACTTGTGTGTTTCAGATGAGTGAATGTCTGTTATGTGTCAGAGCTTAAGGCTGATCGGATGCTCAAAGTGCTTAATTCATTCAGCATTTAGAGTTTACGAAGCAATGAATGGCATAAATCTGAGTACAGAGGAAACAGAATCAGAAGTAGTGTCCCGGGGTTGGAGCAATGGCTCCGTGGTTAAGAGCACTGACTGCTTCTGCAGAGGACTGTCTTCCAGCACCCATATGGTGGCTAACAACCATCTGTAACTCAACTTCCAGGGAGTGCAATGCCCTTTTCTAGCCTCTGTGGGCATTGCATGCACAGGAACACTTACATGCAGGCAAAATACTCATACACATAAAGATAAATACATTTTTTTTAATTTTTAAATTTTATTTATTATTTCGTGTCATAGCCACGGTGTTCTGAACCGTATCTCAAGGCCCTAGCTCTAGGTAGCTACATTTCTTGCAGCCAGGACTGTAAGGAGGTTCTGATCGTGGTTGAAACCAGACTCTGCTCTGTTGAGATCCAGTAGGGACACTCTGATGTACATTTGTATTGGCAGGTTTCCTAAATGAGATGGGTGGGCTGTTGACAGGAAGAAGGAAGATAAGCAGGGGAAAAAAAACTTGGGTGGGAGGTGGTGACAGCAGTCTGACAGAAGCCCAGAGAGGAAAAGTGGGCAAATGCCCATTATGGCTGGAAGGAGCAGTAGCGGTAAGGAGAGGAGCCCGACTGGGAAGACCATGAGATTGGGCAGTGTTGGGAGGCAGGTCTCACGGAAGTGGCTTTGAACAGAAGAATCAGGTTCCTAGTCTGGGCTGTGCTTGCTGTGTCTGGCAGGACCAGGTACAGTTAGGAATAAGCTCCTGGCCTGAGGCTGCTTTGGAGCTGGAGCAGAGTTGAAGTGGGTGTAGGCTTTTGAGCCAAGCTGGGTGTGTCAGCTCCAGCTCATAGAGGCAGGTTCAAGCCCTTTTTCCTCTGCCAGGTGAGCTCCACCTGACACCTTTACATGGCATCCTACAACTGCGGCCCAGCTTCTCCTACCTGGATAAGGCAGATGCCAAGCACCGAGAGAGGGAGGCAGCCAATGAGGGTGAGCCTGCTGACAGTTTGCAATCTGGGTGGGCCAACTTGGGAGCAGGGAAAAGTACTGAAGAGGTCAGATTACAGGATGCTTACTGGCATCCCAAGCCTCTGCCTGTACTAGATGCCAGTAGCTCCTAACCTGATCCCACATTTGGGACAACCAAAAACGTCTCCACACATTGCCAAACACTGCCTAAGGATTAAACTGCCCCAACTGAGACCACCAATGTGTGCAGCTAACTGCATCATTGCAGTTAATCCACCCCCCCATCCCCACCCTTGCCCTCAGCCTTCCTGAGTGTGGGCTTGAGTTGGGGCAGGGTGAGCAGCCCCAGCAGAGGCTGCAGTGATAACTTGCTTTTGCAGCTGGGGACTCTTCGCAGGACGAGGCAGAAGAAGATGTTAAGCAGATCACGGTGAGCTATGGCCCTGGGCATGGGGGATCAGTCCCGGTGGCAAAAGACAGCAAGAGGTGGTGTCAGGTCTGAGTAGAAGGGGCTTCCCCATGCTAGGGAGAAACAGGTACAGAATGTCCTTTTGAACCAACTTGTCTGCTGCCTGGAGGGAATAACCTACCCCTTGTGCAGCCCAGCTCTTTTTTGTAAACTGGACAAGTTTTGTTATATATGAAGAGCTGGGATTCTGGGGTGTGACTGACTGGAATTGCCTGGGGACAGGAAGCTGTGGCCCAGGAGCCCCAGGGAACTCATATATAAGCTCACAAAGTTCAGCATTATTTCCTGTTTGATTCTGCCTTTTTGATGGACACAAATGAATAGTTATCATGCTAATAAGCCTGATTTTGAAAGGTTTAGAAGATACTACCTTCCACTCAGGGTTTATAAAGTTCCTATTTATGTACATGTGGTTTACAGTGAGTGTTGAAAGGAAAGCTGCATAGTCGTGACAAGGTGTGTTCTAGTTTGTTTTCAATTGCTGTGACAAAACACTCTGACCAGTACCAACTTGGGAAGGAAAGAGTTTATTTGGCTTACCTCTTCCTGGGTCACAGTTCATCACTGGCGGAGCCCAAGGTAGGAACCTGGAGGCAGGAACTGGAGCACAGACCATGGAGGAACGCTGCGTACTGGCTTGCTCCCCTGGTCTATCCTCAGCCTGCTTTCTTAAACAATACAGAACAACCTACCCAGGGATGGTACTGCCCACTGTGGACTGGGCCCTCCCACATCACTCAGCAATCAAAAAATACTCCACAGACATGACCACAGGCCAGTCCAATGGAGGCAGTTCTCTAGTTGAGGCTCCCTTACCCAGGTGTGTCAAGTTGGCAACTAAAGCTGTCTAGCATAAGTGGAGTCTGAACATCCTAGTGGACTGTTCTCTCCAAAGTGATGTGGAGGCTGCAGGGGCTTATCCTAGTCTCAGCAGCTTGTTGGATGACTTTAAAAAGCTCATGTACCCTCTTGGGTAAATATCCTCGTCTGAAAACATATGCTTTGGCGCCGTGGGTCTCTGTAGTCCTGCCAGAGTCCCTTAGCTGGGACAGAGAAGAAGAAAACACTGTTCCCAGCTTGTATTGACGGCTCATAGACAGGAAGAGAGATGTTTGGCGCTGAATTCAGAGGCAAAAATAGAAGTGGAGTGCAAGTGCTGCGATGTGGTGGTGGTGGGGGGTCTCTGGTCTGCATAGGGCTGTGGGAGCCATGGATCTGGGGGTGCTACCTCCCCATATCCCTCCACAGGTGCGGTTCTCACGGCCAGAGTCTGAGCAGGCCCGCCAGCGCCGTGTACAGTCCTATGAGTTCTTGCAGAAGAAGCATGCGGAGGAGCCCTGGGTCCACCTGCACTACTGTGGCATGAGGGTGAGCTGGGGCAGGGCCTGGGGCAAAGCCCCCATGCTCAGGCTTGTTTCCCCCCTTTAGTTTTGAATTCTGTATGGGCCATTTGGTAATAGCACAGAAAGCATTAAGTCTATGAGCAGTCCCACTTAGCGGTGCCTGAGGGAGTGGGAAGCAGACCTGCTGTTCTAGTTGGAGGTTTTGGCCCCCTAGGCTCTCTGGGAGCAAAACCTGTAGCCATGCTTGCAGTGAGGCTGGTGTTTGGTTACCCGTTTTTCATGTACCATGGACACTGATCACAGACCAGACACTTTATCTGGGGTTGCACTGGAAAACCTGCCATCTGTCGCATGCCTCAGGTTCACTGCCCACCTGTCCAGGGGTAGTTTTAATATATTCAGTTTCCATGCCTTTGAAACTGACACTACACTGAGCCAGGGAAGCAACTGGACATTAGCTCCTAGGTACCTGGGCTAGGGCTCCTCAGTCTTTGTGGGGATGAGCAGCTGGAACCTTCCTGGAAAAGAGAGAGTGCTAGTCTTATACTCAAGGTCTGGCTTTCAGGAAACTCCTGTGTGAACTTGGGCAAATTGCCTCTCCTTTCTGAGCTTGTTTCCTTAGTTGTAAAATGGGAATAGTAAAAACCCTGTAGAGTTATTTTGTGCATAGAGCCTGGCACATGGCAGGTGCTTGGTGAATAGTAGTTTGTTTTTAGTCTTTGCTAATGTTTCTGTACTACAGGTAGGGCACTGGGGCTAGAAGAGTGGATGGTTGAGGCCATGTTGCAGAGGCCTTGTGGGTGTCGTGCTTCTGAGGTAGAACATGGGCCTGTGGATGGCTTTGGAACAGGATAGTGTTTGACTGGAGTGGGAGATGAAGCAGATGCCAGAGCTAGATGGGGAAGAGGCATGTGAGACAAGGCCTAGGCTTTATCTGAGTCCCACCTTGCTCCTCTAACAGGACAGTCGCTCAGAGCATGAGCGCCAGTACCTGCTGTGCCAGGGCTCCAGCGGGGTAGAGAACACAGAACTGGTCAAGTCACCCAGGTGGGACTGGCTTGGTGCTGCCTAGGGGCTCTGGGGGCGGGGGGCGGGGTTCCCTGTGGGGAGGAACCACTGGCATCCTTACAGAATGGGCAAGGATGAAGGAGGGACACTGCCTCTGGAGAGGTCCAGAAGGGTGATCTGGAAAAGAGTAATCCCTATTTTCTGTGGGGCTGTCACCTGGGAGCTGGGGATTGCTTGGGGCAGGGTAAGGCTGGGCCTCTGCCTTCCCCTGTTCCCAGGTTGCAGTCTGGCTGTGACCTGCGGTTCACACTCAGGGTAAAACAGAATCCACAGAGCCTTTGACTTCTCCCTCGCTCCTCAACCCCCATCCTTACAGTGAATACCTCGTGATGCTTATGCCGCCCAGCCCGGAGGAGGAGAAGTGAGTAAGGGGCTGGTCCCCCTACCCCCTCCCTAGCCCACTTGACTCCTTTAACTCCTCGCTGTTGCTTCCAACAGAGACAAGCCTGTGGCTCCCAGCAATGTTCTTTCCATGGCCCAGCTACGAACATTGCCGCTGGCTGACCAGATTAAGGTCCTGATGAAGAACGGTGGGTATTGCTCTCCACCCCCAGGGTCAACACCAGAGGAGGCCCCTGCTCCGCAGAGCCTGCTTGGCTTGGCACCTTGGCAGATAATGCACCACAGTGGCACAACAGGCCCCTTAGATGGGCTCCTGAGCTGTCCTTGCTTGGGCAGGTCACTGGCCTGAGCCTTTGTCTTTTAGTGATAGTTCCTAGGGACTGATGGGGGTACAGAGTATTTCATGAGCGCATGAGTGTACACTTTGTGATAAAGTACTTTCACTGACTGTGTCTTGGTACGCTACTACAGGGACTGGTCCCTTTTCTCTCAAACTGAAGGTCAGAGCCTTTAGGGGCTGAGTCCCAAGCCCTGGATACTTTAAGAGGCCAGTGTGAAGTGTTAGGCCTGGGTAGAGCTGGAGACTCCCTACCATGCCACAGCTTCTGTAAGGGACTCGACCTTCCCCAGGCCTTCCCCTGGGGATAGCAAGTGACCTAGGTTTATGGCCTTTTCCAGCCAGTAGAGCATGGGGGAGTTTGAACTCTTTCTGGACTAAGTAGTGACAGAATCTTCTCCATACTCCTTGATTTTCCGTGAGGATCCTCAGTGAGATACATGGACCCAGCATTCAGTCCACCACCAGTAGAGGATGTCATTGTTCTGGCCACATTCCTAGGAGTTATGGGAACTGGGAGCCTGATACTCTGCAGACACTTGGGGAGATGGAAGAGCCAGGCCACTCTTCCTTGTCTAATGAGATATGGCTTGTGTCTGTCTACCTCAGTGAAGGTCATGCCTTTTGCCAATCTGATGAGCCTCCTAGGCCCCTCTGTGGACTCTGTGGCTGTTCTGCGTGGCATCCAGAAGGTGGCAATGTTAGTTCAAGGAAACTGGGTGGTAAAAAGGTAAGCTGCTTGGTAGTCTGTTGATAAGAGCACCAGTCCACATAAATTTAATGAAGTTGCTGAGGTTGTCCTGCCTGTGTTCTACATTCTCCAGAATTCTGTTTCCATTTAAAAAAAAAATATTTTATTATTAGTTTTTTATGTGTATGAATGTATTGCCTGCATGTTATGTTATGTGAGTGCACCCGTGTTGGTGTCGTGCAGTGCTGCAGAGATCAGAAGAGGGCTTCGGATTCCCCTGGAACTGGAGTTAAGGATGGTTCGAAGCCACCATGTGGGTGCTGGGAATCGAACCCAGGTTCTCTGCAAGAGCAGTTAGTGTTCTTAACCACTGAGCCATCTCTCCAGCCCTGTTTCCATTTTTACTACTGGTTTGAAAATTAAGTCTCTTCACTTTTTACTATTCTACCTAGTTTTCAGCTTGGATCTATGACTTAGCAGAGCTTCCCATTAATTGCCTTTTACTCTCTTCTGAGAGTTCAAAATCCTAGAATATTTTAATGATTCACTTCTCACTTGTGGTTTTTTTCCTTTTTTTTTTTTTTGTCTTTTTTGAGACAGGGTCTCCCTTTAGTCCCAGCTGGCCTGGAACTCATATGTAGACCAGGCTGGCTTCAAACTCACAGTGATCCGCCTGCCTCTGTCTCCCAAGTGCTGGGACTAAAGTCATGTACCACCATGCCCAGCCTACTTGTATGTTTTAATCTGTCTATATTTTCAGCCCCCCAGGACTGTATCCAGTCAGCATTCTTAGACCTACCCACAGACTTGCCTTTTTATAGTGTTTATTCCTATGTACACCTCTTAAGTGTCATCCGAGATAACTTAGTTTGTCTAAGAAATGCTGTAGTGTTTCTTTTAATGCAGATCTGTCAGAAGTAGCTTTCCTCAGTTTTTGTTTTTTTTTTGGTGTGTCTGTTTTAACTTTGTTTTAAAAGGGTGCTATTATGGAGTATATTAATTAAAAAATTGTTGACTATTTTCTTTCCATGCATTGGTGTAATCTGTGTCTATGGTGTGCATGCTTGTGTGTGTTCATGTGTATGTGGAAGTCTGGTTGACATCAAGTGTCTTCCTTGATTGTTATCAATTTATTGAGGCAGGGTCTCTTGCTGAACCTGGGATTTGCTGTTTCTGGTAGGTAGTCTGTCCAGCCAGCTTGCCCTGGGGCTCTTCTGTCTCTGCCTCCAAGTGCTGGGATAACAGGTAGCTGCCATGCCTGCTTGACTTTTATGTAGGTTCTGAGGGTTGAACTCTGCTCTTCATGCTTGTGCAGCAAGTGCTTTATCCAGTGAGCCATCTCCCCAGCCTGATTTTGTTGTGTTCTGGCATTCATTTTATTGACAAGTCCACTGTCAGGCTAATTTATGTTCCTTTGACAGTTATCTTTGTGTTCTTCTGACTGCTTTGAAGCATTTCTCTTTGTTTTGTCTTTCTATTTTGTATTAAGCTGTGTCTAAATGTGGTTTTCTTTTTTTAAAAAAGTTTTATAGCTGGGTGTGGTTGCACACACCTTTAATCCCAGTACTTGGGAGGCAGAGGCAAGTGGAGCTCTGTGAATTCAAGGCCAGCCTGGTCTACATAGTGAATGCCAGGCCAGTTGGGGCTACAGGGAGACCGTGTCTCAAAAAGACCAAACGGAAAGAAAAAAAGATAAAAAAAAAAGTTTTATTTTAATTTTATGTATATGAGTATATTGCCTGCATGTATGTAAGTGCCCTCATGTTGTGCAGTGCCTGCAGAGGTCAGAAGAGGGTGTTAGATCCCTGGGAATTGGAGTTATGGATGATTGTTAGCCGCCATGTAGGTCCTGGGAATTGAACCCAGGTCCTCTGCAAGAGTAGTGTTCTTAACCTCTGAACCATTTTTCCAGTCCTGGTTTTCTGTTTTCTTTGCCTGTTGGAGTTCATGGGTCATGACTTTGTGGCTCGATGCTCTTAGTAGTTTTCTTTCTCCTGTGATTGCTCCACCAGATCATTTGAGGGAGTAGTAGAGACAGTCTGTTCTGTGCCTCCTTTGTGTTTCCAGTTTCCAATAAAATGGCCTTGTACACGCTGATCTGGTTAATGCTGTGTGACCGCTCCTTTTACATACTTGAATTAAAGTAGAGTACAATGGTGTAATAGTAAAACTTAACAAAGACTCACTTTTTGAACAGTGTAGTATAAGGTAAATAATATGATAAAATGTGAATAACTGATTGTAAAGTGTATTCATTTAACTGTCACATGGTGGTGCCCTTTCAACTGGTAAACATATCCAGTTGTCATGAGTTACCCAAGGTTTTCCTTATTGGAGGGGTTTTGTCATGGCACGTTGCTTGTTAAGTGTGAGTACTTATGTATATTTACACTGTGAACCAGTGGAAGTTAGGAGGGGCCATCCCATCACACCTGAAGACACTGGCCAAGAGAGGCACAGGACTTGCCTAACATTTCAGCAATGCAGCTAGAGTTGGGTTTGAACTTGAGCTTCAGGAATCAGCCTGGGCTTTGCCCTATAAGCATGTTCCCCTATCTGTTGATGTTTGGCCTATCCCATCGTCTCAGGTGTCCTCACTACTGTAAGGGCTTCTGTAAAGCCTTTTCTGACATATCCAGGCTACTTTGTGAGGGTCACAATCCTTTCAGGTCTATCCTTGTTGTCTATGTGAGAACATAAAAACTCAAGCCTCCATTTAGTAAACTTGCCTTATTTATGTATTCTGTGCTGTGCACTGTATTCCCATTCGGTTTCTGTCCCTATCTTCAAGGGACGAGTCCACAACATGTGCCCAACTTATTGGTTCATTGAATACTTAGTGGATCCTTTCTCTGTAACAGCCAAGAACACTCAGGCCAGACCTGTATTGCTATGGAGCTTAACCTTGGAGAATGAGTTACCCAGTAGGACTAGGCCTGGGGAGTAGAGGGCCTCCAACAGAGGAGCCAGAGAGGGCTGGCCTAGGGCTGTGGCTGGAGGTAGGGTCAGAGTCTGTGGGTACTCAATGTGCCTTACTCAACGTGTTTCAGAACCCTAAGGTCCTCTGGGCCCTTGGTACAGTCTCTGTTCCTTCAAGCTCCATGGCCACCCAGGACCAGAGTCTGACCTCAGTTTATATGTACCACTTTAGGCAGATATGGCCTTGAAGCTTGCTGCAGCATTAGCTTCTCTTAAAGCCATAAGCACTTAACCTGTGAGACCAGAGTCTACTCAAAAGTCCTGGGCTCCTAGAGGTCCCAGGCTTGTCTGTCTTTGAGTCTTTAATCCCTCACATAGGGCTAGGCCAGTATGTGAATAGTGAGTTGGGAAGAGTTGAGTGAGGTGTGCTCTCTCCTACATAAACTCTTAGGCCTTGGTGGAGGGCTGCACACTTAGGTCTGTGTCTGAGAAAGGGTATAGTCTGGGTTAGCTCAGACTGTGAGGCCTGGGCTTCCAAAATAGGAGGTGCTGGTGGTGGTGACTAAGGTCAGAGACTGACCAGCTACCCCTGCTTGATTTGGCAGTGACATCTTATATCCCAAGGATTCATCCAGCCCTCACAGTGGCATGCCTGCTGAGGTGCTCTGCAGGGGCCGAGACTTTGTTGTAAGTACGTGGGCTCTAGCCCCAGGGCTGAGGGTGGAAGATGGGTCCACAGCTGGCAGGGAAGCTCCATTGGGGTGGGCATGTGTGAGGAAGCCACACTGTGGGGCTCTACATGCAGCACCTTTCTCCTTCCTCTTCATCACGAACTGGTAAGACCTTGCAGGGGTTCCAGAAGGCTCCACACAACCTAGGCATGGGGTTCATTTAGCTGAGTGGTGTGTTACAAATTTTACCTTGGTTATAGACTTACAAATCAGGATCTTGGTATAAATTAGATTTCCAGCTGTCATGAATGATTGACAGTCTGGGTGTGCTGGACCCTGCACAGCATGTGCTTTGGATGGGACTGATGGCTCCTTTTCACCAGTCCGGCATCTCTCCTTCCCTGCTGCTGCATGTTTGGAGTTTGTGACTCCTAAGCTAGCTTACCCCTCCTTCCCATGACTCTGCCCAATTATATCCAGAGCTCAGATCCCTCCTGAGGTCTCGAGCTCCATGTCACTGGGACCTGCAAATGCCTCACCAGACCTGGCATTACATTTTGAATTTGTTAGAATATGTACCCTTAGAGCCATCCCTCATAACTTTAAAAAAAATTTTTTTTGATTTTGGGCTGGAGAGATGGCTCAGCAGTTAAGAACACTGACTGTTCTTGCAGAAGACCTGGGTTCGAATCCCAACACCTACATGGCAGCTAATAGCTGTCCATAACTCCAGTCCCAGGGGCTCTGACAATTTCTTTTGTCCTCTGCAGGCATTGCACGACATGAGTGCACTTACCTATATGCAGGCAATACATGCATACACATAAACTGAAAATAATAAAATTAAAAAAAAATTTTATGTGTATGAATGTTTTGCCTTCATGTATATAAGTGCACATGTCTTGTGCAAAGTCTGCAGAAACCAGAAGGAGGAGTTGGATCCCCTGGAACTGGAGTTATGGACAGTTGTTAGCCTCCATGTAGGTGCTGGGAATTGAACCTGGGTACTCTGGAAGAGCAGCTAGTGCTCTTAACCACTGAGTCTTCCCTCTAGCCTCATCTGCCATAACTCTTGTGCTCAAACTCAGGCCTTGTCTGAAGACAAGGAGCCAGCCCTTAGGTGGTTTGGAAGGTACCTGCATTTGTGCTTCTGATTAGAAGTCCTCAGCTCTTTGGGGTAGTTAGTGTTGAGAGTCCTTGACAATATGTTTGATCTGTGAGCATCAGAGTATAGCTCCTACCCAGGCTCACTCATGCACAGGTGCCCTTTGCTCTCAGCTGCTTTTCTGGGCGAGCACATACTGTCAGATTGGGACCTGTGAGAGGTCTGGGCAAGGTAAGAGTTACTGTAGGTGATCGCTAGTCATCCTTTTCTCATGACTCTCAGACATTGGCCCTCACCTCTACCAGGTACCCTGTGAAGCAGTTCAGGGGCATGTGAGCTGCTAAGGCAGTGAGAGGGTTGTAGGGTGCTTTGAGCCTTTGCGAAGCCCACCATCAGCAGCTGCCGTAACAGAATGTTGCCATACATAGGGGAAACCCTTGTTGATGAATCCTGAGGACACTCTTAGGAGGCTCTGGGGATGCCACAGTGAACCAGATGGGAAAGGCCCTGCCCTGTGAGCACTTAGTTTGGGGTGGTCCAGCTTTTCTAGAGGAGAGGACACTAGGGGTTCTTTATATCTGTAAAGGCTGATGACAGTTCAGTGAAGGGGCTGCCCAAGATAAACTCTGGGAAGAGTAGGGCAGGAATTCCATTTCGGTCTTCTGTCTCCCAGGCTCATCCACCCTTTGCATCTTGCTCAGGCCCATGGCCCACTATGGGGTTCCTGGGACAGTCTGAGCAGCTGCTTGTTGCCGCCTTCTGAAACATGCTCCTTTTCTTCCACAGATGTGGAAGTTCACACAGAGCCGATGGGTGGTAAGGAAGGAAGTGGCAGCAGTGACCAAAGTAAGTGGTGGTCCTTGTGACCTGAGCCCCAGGGCCTGGTGCAGGAGGAAACTTGGGGCTATCTGTACCTCACACCCTTCTTCTCCCTCAGCTCTGTGCTGAGGACGTAAAGGACTTTCTGGAGCACATGGCAGTAGTGAGGATCAACAAAGGCTGGGAGTTCATACTGCCTTACGACCGGGAGTTCATCAGGAAGCATCCAGATGTGGTCCAGCGGCAGCACATGCTGTGGTCAGGCATCCAGGCCAAGTAAGGCTTGCAGAGTGGTCCTGAACCTGCCTTCCAGGAGCAACACAGTTAGGTTAGATCTGGATAGCAAGGGCCACTGGGAGCCTGTGTTCATAACTATACTGCCCTTCACACAGGTGAACATCACTGACTGGCGCCAAGTCCTCCCAGCACAGGGCTGATAGCACAGCTACACCCTGCATGTCAGAACTGATGGATTTGGAGGGGCTGGAGAGGAGAAGAGAAAAGCACATAGTCAAGGAAGAGAGAGGGCAGGGTGGCACTCCACATCCTGGTCCTGGGTTCTGTGGCTGGGAGCTTGTATATCCCTAGAGGGATTGCAGGGGAGAAGGCCTGGCCGAGCCTTTGGTGATCAGAGTGTCCTGGACTTGAGTGCTTGTTTCTGTGGAAGGGCTGACAGTATAAGATACGGGTTTTAAAAGGGGTTTATTCTTCTTTTCAGATTAGAAAAGGTGTACAATCTTGTAAAAGAAACCATGCCAAAGAAGCCAGATGGACAATCAGGTGTGTAGGGCTTTGGGCTGGGCAGGTTCCCAACTTGGACCCTTGCCTCAGAAGGGTTTTCTTTTCTCCTTTTCTCTTTTCTTTTCTTTTCTTTTCTTTTCTTTTCTTTTCTTTTCTTTTCTTTTCTTTTCTTTTCTTTTCTTTGTGATTCTCATTTCCTTTTCTCTTTTCTTTTCTTTTCTTTTCTTTTCTTTTCTTTTCTTTTCTTTTCTTTTCTTTTCTTTTCTTTTCTTTTTGGTCTTTTTGAGACAGGGTCTCCCTATAGCCCCAGCTGACCTGGAACTCGCTATGTAGACCAGGCTGGCCTCAAACTCACAGAGATCCACCTGCCTCTGCCTCCCGAGTGCTGGGATTAAAGGCGTGCACCACCACATCTGGCCAGAAGGGTTATTTTCTACAGCAGGTCAGGGCTCAGGCCTGAGAAGACCTATATGGCTCTCACAGTTCACCCTTCTTGTGCCCTCCTTTCCTTCCTGCCCTCCCCTCCAAACACAGCTGAATGTTTGTCTGAGCCACACAGCCTTAGACTTGGGAACATGTGTCCTCCAGGGCAGTGTGGGTTCTGAGACCTTCTTGCCCTCTTGGGTTAGCTGCTGGTGTAATGCAGCAGAGCCCCTTTCTGTGACTGGTATGCTCAGTTCTGTTTCTTTCTTCCGTACTGGGTAGCTCAGTTCTACTTGAGCTAGCAGGGGTGGAAGACAGTGCTTGGTTCCTTGCTTCAGGAGCTGTCTCCTGTCAGACAACTGTCTCGAGGCCTTGTCTGCCTGGATTCTGTGCCCTCTTGAACCATACTGTTTCACCACAGGGCCTGCTGTTCTGGTCTCTGGAGACCAGCGAATCCAGACAGCCAAAACAAAGGCTCAGCAGAACCATGCCTTCCTGGAGCGTGAGTTACAGCAACGGAAGGAGCAGATGCGAGCGACCACAGTCCTGCCCAGTGTGCAGATCAAGGAGGAGCCCCTGAGCGAGGAGGATGGGAATGGGGATGATCTAGAGGCCGAGGAGGAGGAGGAGGAGGAGGAGGAGGAGCCTATGGACACTGCACCCAGTGGTGGCCTCAGCACCAAGTTGGCCAATGGGTTGCCTGCTGGGCGGGCAGTAGCTGGGGACAGCCTCAATGGGCACCCACCCCCGGGCTGTGCCAGTAACCCGGTGGCCCGGGAACTGAAGGCTTTTGTACAGGCCACCTTTCAGAGACAGTTTGTGCTCACGCTCAGTGAACTCAAGCGCCTCTTTAACTTGCACCTAGCTGGTCTGCCCCCAGGCCACACGCTCTTCAGCGGCATCTCAGACCGCATGCTGCAGGACACGGTGCTGGCCGCTGGCTGCAAGCAGATACTGGTGCCTGTAAGTAAACTCTGTGTCTGCCAGGATAGGCAGACAAAGTTACTTAGTGCCCCCCAGGAGGGTACCTGGGAAGGCTGTACCTTCTCAGGCAGCAAGGAGCACAGGGAGAAGTCTGTGTGCCTTGGAAGCGGCCCCAGCCCTGTCTGCCCTGGGGAGATCAGCTGTCAGGCTGCCTGGGGACTGGGTATATGCTGCCCTTATGTGATGGCCACGTGAGCTCCTGGGGCTCTCTGTCCTCATCTGAAGTGGGTGTATTCTACCACAGGACTTTGTTAAAGGCTAGTAAGATACTTGAGGGCCCCTAACCCTTATCAGGGCCTCAGTAAATACAAGGCCTCTGCCTGGTATTCAGTCCTTAGAAGTGAATGGTAGAGCTAGAATTTGAACCTCAGTACAGATATTCTGTCTAGTCTGCTTCAACAAAGACCAGTAGAGCACTTTACCAGAGCTTGGGCCTGAGATTTGGTGGCCTCCCTACCTTTTAGGACAGCTGATCCAAATATGCTCTGGCTCTACATATTTCTGGTGCTAGGCATGGGGGTGGTGGAATAAGCTACTTGTGCCTCAGTTTTTTGCTGCCAGTAGAAGGGGCTCCACAGTGGGGGAATGGTGAAGCAGTCTGTAGGAGACTGCTGCCCATTGCTGAAAAGGAGTTCTTGGTGTAACCAGAAAGAAGCTGTTATTGTTCTCTTCTAGGCTGTGCCCAGTCCTGGCAGCAAAGGCGGGGAGGGGGAGTTGTGGTGGCTCTTAAATAGTGTGACGTATATAATGCCAAGTTCAGAAGCACTTGTGGCCTAGGGGGATGGTCAGAGAACAAGGCCCATTCCTGTGTATTTGAGGAACAGGAACTAGGACAAGAAACTGGGAATCTGGCCCTGCTGGCAGACCTTCCTTGGCGAGGTCTCCAGTAGAAGGTGCTAGGATTATGGGTCCCTGACCCATCCAGCAAGTGGGGCCTACCTTTCTGTGTGTTGGGCAAGGCAAGGGTACCTGCCTGGCAGCAGTGAGGTTGCCTGGGCCACCTGCATGGACAGAGGTGAGGGGACCTCTGTGGGTATGTTGCTCTCAGATTCCCCTGCCTACCCCACACCCTTCTTTGGCCATGCTTCTCCTTCTTGGAAGAGCTAGCATCTGCAGGAAACCCCACAGCCCTATCATCTTGGGACATATTACCCAGGGACTATATTACAGCCCATCTAAGACCTCAGATTATCCCATCTTCTATCTTTTCACACAAGAGAGATGACACCTAGGGAGAATGAGTAGACCCACTCCTACCTAGTTTTCTGCTTATTAGCTGGGTGGCCATGGATACCTGCTCATCCTCAGGAGAATGGGGGTGATGGGATGAGCTACTTGTGCCTCAGTTTTTTGCACAAAAACCTGGGACAGAGGTGTTGCCCTAAAACCTCAATGCTGCTTGGTTTCTCATGATCAGGTGAGATTGGATCAAGTCCCACATCAGGCTTTGTGTGCTAGTGACCACCAGTGTCACTTATGAATAGGAACCTGCTGTTCCAGGGCCCTCTTCTCTATGTGCCAGACCTGTACCATCTTTTCCCTGGTTGACCTGCAGGCCTGCCTGAAGCAAATGGCATGGAAGATTTGGGAGTCTGGCCAGGCTTAGAGCCACACTTGTTGCTGTCCTTGTGGGAAACAGCTAAAAGGAAGCTAAGGAATGATGAGGAAGGGGTCACTTATTAGGATACAACCCCTGGTAGATACCTTAGGTTGTTGAAGCAGAGTTGAGCTAATGTTAGGCTGCTGGGAAAACCAGAACTGGCTTCCTCCATCCCAAGCACTGGATGTCTCACTGGCATATCACTTCTCTCACAGGAGTTACTCAGTGGTAGGAGCTAGGCTTGGACCACACCTCCCTAGAGCTGGGCTGCAGGCCAGGTGGGGGTGAAGTAGGCAGGGGCTGGGTTCACAAGGCAGAAAAATGATCAGTTCATGCCTGGGCCAGTTTCCCCCACAGACTGCTGCTTCCCCTGATGAGCAGAAGGTGTTTGCCCTCTGGGAGTCTGGAGACATGAGTGACCAGGTGAGGTGACCTTTTTTGTCCTCTTTCTTTCCTAAGAGTGGGGAGGGGTTCTTAGAAAGTTGGTCTTTGGGAGCTGGACAGTGGAGTGCACTTGTATATGTCAGGTTCTTCTGCCATGCTGTCTATATGCCACCAAGGTAGGCAGGGTGTACCAGTGGTTTGAACTGAGTCAAAAAGAGGCCAGGGGTCTGCGTCAGCAGAAAAGAGTCACCTTTGGAAAGGTCATAGGTTTCCTACGAAGTCCAGTCTGTCCAGGAGTTCAGTGGCCTCACTACTGAGGCTTCTATAGAACTTCTTTGGGGATAGAGCTGTCAGGCAAGCTCATAACATGCCAGATGGTTCTCAGTGGCTCCTGGCAGCAGGAATCAGAAGGCTTATCAGGTGTCTCAGGCCTGTACTTAGGTTAGACAAATTATTTTATGCAGTCATCCTCTGGCAGGTAGGTGCTAGGTATCCAGTAAGTAGAAATGTATATTTTACCATTTGGCACCGTTTGTGTAGTGTGGTCCTGGGAAGCTGAGGTCCAGGTGTTTTATTTATATATATTTTTTATTTTTTTTGGTCTTTTTGAAACAGGGTCTCCCAGTAGCCCCAGCTGGCCTGGAGCTCACTATGTAGACCATGCTGGCCTCAAACTCACAGAGATCTGCCTGCCTCTGCCTCCCGATTGTTGGGATTAAAGGCATTTTCTTTAAACCAGAAATTTGCCTGGACTCTAGCTAAAAAAAAGAGAGAGAGGAAAAAACACAAAAATTTAATCTTTATAAAGTGCCATTTTAGGCTGAGACAGGGCATGAACAAAATCCTGCCAATGTCACTCATCCTTTTACCTGCAAGGGCAGGGGCAGGCAGGCTGAGAGCAGAGGTAGGTAGGTGGGCCTCCCTTCCAGTAGGTCTCCTGAAGTGGGCCTGGGCTCTTGGCCAGGATAGGCGGCTTCTGGCTTTCCTACAGACCTACTCTGGTAACTAGGGAGAAAAAAGTGCACATTTAAAATAATACCAAATGACTTTATGAGGGAGCTGACTCTAGCTCTCCTTGACCCCACTCATACTCCTCAGAGGTGATTGTAACCACCAGCAGATCCATTGAGTTACTCGCATTCTAATGCACAGAATGTACTTGTGCATTGTTGGCTTAGCTGGGCATTATCAGTGGTGTGCCTGTGCTGGAGGGGATTTTGGCTCTTAGCTGTGCTGGGAGGGTGTAGAGAGGCATGCATAACAGTTTGGGGACTGCCTTTTAGTTCAGTTGGTTATCAAAAATCACTGAAAGACCTGAAACTGTTACTAGATCAGAGGTGGGCAAGGCGCTCTAGATGCTGAACAGCGGTGCATCCATTGTTCACTGCTTTTTAAAGAAATTTCAAGATGTTTTACATTTATTTGTTTGTGTGGTGTGTGTGTGTGCGCGTGTGCCAAAGCCCATGTGTGCTGGAGTTGGTATTCTCTTTCCACCATGCGGGTCCCAGAGATTGAACTTGTCAGACTTGGCAGAAAGTACCTTTGCTCCCTGAGCCAGCTCACCAGCCCACTTGCTGTTTTCACTTGTGTGGTGTTCTGGACATCAGACCAGTGACAGCTTTCTTGAATGTAATTCTCTAGAAGCCTATGTCATGGTTTCTCCTGGTGGCTTGCTCTTCCCATGTCTTGCTTCTAGAATCTTGGCTTCTTTTATTTTAGTTTCTGTTGGAACAGAGCTATCTATTGGTTCATGTCTGGAAATGGCTCTTTCCCATACCCTGAAATAGCTTGTAATAATGGAACCAGAATTTTATAGGCCAATCATTTCCCCTCTAGATTGTAAGGTATTTTACCACGTCAAATGACATTTGTCTTGTAAGGTCTTTAAGTTACATCCTTCCCTTCATTGCAAATAGGAGAATTGTATATCTTTCTATGTATTAGTAGAATTTTTATGTACTTTGAATTCATTTTACTTGACAGGTTGCTCTTAAAAAACTGTAGTTTGAGGGGCTGGAGAGATGGCTCAGCGTTTAAAGAGCACTGGCTGCTCTTTCAGAGGACCTGGGTTTGAATCCCAGTTCCCACATGGCAGCTAACAACTGTTTGTAACGCCAGTTCCAGGCGATCCAATAACTCTTCTGACCTCCACAAGCATTTCAGGACACAAGTGCACTTACATGCATTCAGGCAATACATTCATACCCATAAAATAAAAATAAATTTTAAAAAATCCTATAGCTTGAGTCAATAAAAATTTCTCTTAAAAATCCTGTAGGCTGATACACTTCTTTACCTTTTTCTAAATTTTTCCAAATTCTTTCAGAATTTTGAGATACTCAATATAGTGGACTCATCCTTTTCTTATTTGAGACAGGGTTTTTCACTGTAGTCTTGTCTGGCTTTGATCTTCCTGTTTCAGCTAGGATTGTAGGTGTGAGTCAAGTGTGGTAACACCTGGGAATCGTTTCTCCTTTAATACTTTTTCTAGTATCCTGTCTCATGGATGCAATGTCATGCTTGTGTGTTAAGACTTTTAACCAATTTTAACACCTTTTCCCCACTGGGTTTAGATTGTGGCTTCTTCTGCCTGCTAGTTCATGCAGAAGTATGTGAAAGCTCCTCATCCTTTGTCCTCTGTCTGGAGCAGTGACACATTGACCAGACTTGCTAATCTGACCCAGAAGTGCTGAACCAAGGGCTCCCCCGCTTTCATTTATTTATTTTCATTTATTTATTTTTATTTTATGTGTATGAGTGTTTTGTCTGCATGTATGTAAGTGCACCTGTGTGTGCAATGCCTGGGGCGACCAGAAGCGGATGTTGGTCCCCCTGGAACTGGAGTTATGGATGGTTATTAGCTGCGATGTTGGTACTGGGAACTGAACCCTGGGTCCTTTGCAAGAGCAGGCATCGCTCCAGCCCAAAAGTATTATTATTATTTTCTGAGACTGGGTCTTGAGCCAAAGGCAGACTGGGTCTTGAGTTTTGTCTTGGTTAGCTTTAACAATGTTTATACTTGGTTACTACTCATAGATGTATGTAGATGTTATGGAGTTAGGGCCATCATTTTGTTTCTCTTGCTTGGGGATGCTTTGACATTTGGGGCACTGTTTCTCACAGTAACACTTTTTTTCTATTAAAGCATCGACAAGTTTTGCTTGAAATATTTTCAAAAAATTACCGAGTACGCAGGAACATGATCCAGTCTCGGTTGACTCAAGAGTGTGGAGAAGATCTAAGCAAACAGGAGGTGGACAAAGTGCTAAAGGTACATCCATTGTGTGCGGGACCCTCCTGGAAGCCCCAACCCTAACCCTGCCCAGATCTAGGCTTCGACTCTGACCACTGACTTTTATGAATGAGGATGTTTGCCAGGCGTGCTAATGCACGCCTTTAATCCCAGTACTCGGGAGGCACAGGCACAGACAGGCACAGGCAGGCAGATCTCTGTGAATGTGAAAGATTTATCGTCCTCTTTTTTTTTTTTTTTTTTTTTTAAAAAAAAAAAAAAAAAAAAAAAAAAAAAAAAAAGATGTTCATTTGTGTGGAAAGGACTTAACGATGTTTGGTAGCTTTCCTCATGCTGTATTAAATCAGGACAGTCCCCTATCCACTGTCACCAACTGGTAATGACTAGCTTTTGTATGTTAGCAAGAAAGCCAGCCTCTTTACATAATAGTCCAGGCATCATCCTTCCTTATTTGTCCTCATCCTATGAAGGACAGGTTAGAGTAGAATTTTGCCTTCATTCTCTTGTGAATCTTGTAACATTCTCTAACATTCTCTACTTTTGTGGGGGAGGGGGTTCTTTTTGCGGTAGAGTCTCCCTGTAGCCCCAGCTGTCCTGAAACTCACTATGTAAACCAGGCTGGCCTTGAACTCACAGAGATCCACCTGCCTCTGCCTCTGGAGTGCTGGGACTAAGGGGGTACGCTACCACACCTGGTGAATCTCGTAGCATTCTCAGTATGAGGCTCCAACAGTCACAATACAACTTTCAATAGAATCCATTTTTAAAATTTAAATTTGAAAAGGAGTACTGTTTGCTTAATATGAAAGTACTTGGTTACTACTCAGAATGCTTTTCTGAACTTGTACATTTGTAGAAATGGAGCATAGAGAGCTGAAGACATTTTTCCTATTAACTTAGTCATGTAGGTGATATGCCTTAAGTAGTATTGTCTTGGTTAGCTTTAACAATGTTTGTATTTATAAACACAATGTTTGTGTTTATAAAGCACATCTATTTTATAATGCCTTTTAAAATACGCCTGAGAGGGGCTGGAGAGATAGCTCAGCAGTTAAGAGCACTGACTGCTCTTGCAGAGGACCTGAGTTCGATTCCCAGTACCCACATGGCAGCTAAGAACCATCCTTAATTCCAGTACCAGGGGAATCCGACACCCTTTTCTGACCTCCACATCATTGCATGACATGGGTGCACTCACATACATGCAGAAAATACACTCATACACAAAAATAAAATATTTAAAATACCTGAGGGTGTACCTAAACCATCAAGAGACCGGCAGCACACCTATGCAGTTTTTGATGTACTAGTATTCCACCTACTAATCATAATTATGATATGCTAGGCACAATGAAGTGCTCTCTTTCCTGCTAAAACCTGCCTGTAACCTGTTTTCTTAATTCCTAGGACTGTTGTGTAAGCTATGGTGGCATGTGGTACCTTAAGGGGACAGTACAATCTTGACAATAGTAGCAAACTATTAACTCAGCAAATCCAAGCCCAGGGAAGGATGGCAGAGCCAGAAGTAGAGTCTCGACTTGCTTCAGAAGACAGAGACGCCTCGTGGCCTGCGGCACTGCCTGGCCCAGAGGACCAGAGGGGCTTACACTCGGCCAGTGCCAGAGTCAGCGTAAGTGAGATCGCTCCCAGCAGAGACCAGCCGGGCCTTCTTTGCAGTACAATTTGAAATTCCTGATGTATTTTGCTTATTTGGTTTCATTCTCATAATAAAGAGAGTGTACACTGACATGGGCAGGATTATGAAAATCATGGTTTAATACTTTCCTTTTTTAAATGAATGCCAACAAAGTCAAAGTTATGTTTACAAGATGAAGAGAAACTTAAGGTTTTTAATATTTAAAATGCCTAGAAGCCAATACATAGTCTTAGATTTTTTTCTCTGCTAAGACTTCTGTCAATTTTATTAAACCAAATTGAATTGTCTTACTGTTGGGTGTCTGAGGCCACTTTACCTTTTACAACAGCCTACTTTATGTAGCAGTCTCAACTGTTTACATGAACCATAGCAAAAAATTAGAATGAAATCCATCTTCTCTTAATGTTTGCATAAATATGCAAACTAAACCAGGTAAGTGTGGAACAGTGTAAGCAAGGTTATCACACTTTCATGTAAAAAAATTTTATATTTTGTGTATTTTTAAATAAATGCTAACACTAAACTGGCATCATGGTGCTGCTATCCTCAGATAGGTTGCAGGAAGAAAATATCTGTGCTCTCAAACCATTAACTGTTCTAAAGAGGGAAGGGAGATGATGGTGCCATCTTGGGGCAGATGGATTGCATGAGCTCACATCGGTCCTTGTTGCTCACCCTGGGGTTGCAGACCCTTCTAATGGGAAGTAGGTCCCTGCTGGAGACCATTCTACCAATCCCACTGCTCAGACCACCAAACGGATAGGAACAACTACTAAGTGGTCTTAGCTGTTCTGCAGGCACTGAAGCAAGGTAGAAAGAAGACTGATAGAAAGTAAACACAGGTTCTTATGAGGGAGGGGAGCTAACAGAGCAAATTCCCTTTGGGAATATGAGAGTCATATAAGGTTTTGAGCAGTTTTAAAAATAAATACTAATGTACTTCAGATCTGAGTATTTTAAATTAAAAACATCAAAATGCAATAAGTTATTGTTTTGCGTTTTTGTACTAAGTCTTCAAAATGTGGTATTTTATACTTATAAACACTCAAGCTATTGTTTACATGCTGAGTTGCCACTTGTGGCTGGTGGTGAACATACTGGACCATGTAGCCCTAGAGGATGGTGGGGGAAAAGGTGAACTGGGCTAGGTGAAATGTGAATTTTGCCACCTAGTTACAGCTTTTTGCCATAGTCCATTTTGTACAATACGGCTACTACTGGCTGAAGGTCTAAGTTTGCTCTGTTGTTGTATTCTGTTCAAGAAACGAAGTCTCAAATGTTAGTCAGTAAGACACTAATCAAGTATGAACTCTGTCAAATAAACATTTGGTAATCTCACTTAACAACAGGGTGGCCATATGGTACTGTTCATTCTGATTGTTAACTTATGCTAGCACTTACCAAAAATTGATTAGGAATATGTCCTTATCATTATATACCAATGTTTCTTGGCCTGTAGAAAGAGGAACCCCTCATGTGGGCTGGCACAGATATTAGTGCCACCGTGTAGCACAACTTAGGTGAGGAAGGTCATGCTTTCAGTTTAATAGGTTAAAAAAGAAGCACTGAATTCGATAGCTGAGTAAGCAACTGAGTGCAGTTGGGACATCGGAGGATGGCAATACAGCACTTTCCAGCCCTTATCTCCTTACTCCCACAGAAGCGTCAGTTTGAACAATTGTCCACATGCAGAAACACCTTCACAAGAACTAAGGAAACCACAGATTATGGCACCTGTATGTAGTGCAGATAGAAGACACTGAAGAGGATAAAAGTTTTACAGCACTCCTTTAACTCCACTCAGTGTTAAGAGAATTAAATTCTCAGGAAGAACTGGGAAATGAGCATTGCCTTTACCTTTGACCCTCAAACCAGCACCGAACAGGGCCCCATTGCCCTAGACTATAGTTGAGTACCATGGCCTGAACCTTCAGGCCTGCCCTGTGGACTCATTCATGCACTCTGGATTTACCCCAACACACAAACTCAGTATTCAGACCCATCCCAAGACCATAGTGGACCATGTTTTAGGGGCATGCCTAGCCTCAGGTATCAAGAAGCATGTTCTGAGCCTATCCAGTGCTATGCTTGCCCTCATGGCCTCCTTTCCATTCCTCTACAGCTCTAAGCCTAAGCAGATCCAAGGTCTGTACCAGTAAATCCTAGCACTAGGCTGACCCCAATGGATCAAGGCTTCAAGACTACTGGAAAGACCAGTTCCAAGCCAAGCCTGTGATCCCGGTATCCAGAGGTCCCTTGTAGATTCAGAATCTATGCCTACCCTGGGGCACCTGGCCAGCTGGAGACCCATTCTTAAGAACCCAGACTCCAGCCTCACCTCTACCTAAGCAATCAACTGGTATACCCCAGCAGATGCTCACGCTCCATAGGTTGTCTTCTAAACCTCGGTGCCAGGCCCTAGTAACCCCGTTAACAAGGCCTGAAGACTGCAGCAACAAGTCTCCCAAAACAAATGGCTTTACCAGAACTGAACAGGCTGACTGAAAAAGTGCTTTGCCAGATAAAGCCTATCTGAAAAAAACTGCAACAGTTTCTACTTCAAACATGCATAGCCACAAGGGTCAAGTACAATTAGGGAACGTGACACCACCAAAGGAACAAATTAAGCACCAGAAAGTGACCATTAAGAAATGGAGAGTTCTGGAATTGGAGAGGAGCTCATTGGTAAAGAGCATTGGTGGTTCTTCCAGAGGACTTTTTTCGATTCCTAGCACCCACATGGTGGCTAGCAACCATCCATAACTCCAGTTGCGGGGATCCAATGCCCTCTTCTGTATAACATACATGCAGGAATACACTCATACATATAAAAGTAATTTTTTTAAAAAGGGATTTCTGAACTACCTGTCAAAGAATTCAAACTTGGCCACCAAAATACAGAAAGTTTTGCCAAGTCAGAGAAACTATAGTCAAACTGAGAAATTAAAAAAGGAACCAAATTCTGAAGCTGCCTAGTGGATAAAATGAATTTAATAGTGTCAACAGCAGAACTGATAGAGGAAAAATTATGAATTAAAGACAGGTTATTTGAAAGTGCATAAAGGAAAAAAGGAATGATTATGGGACTTACAGAACAAACATCTAGCTACAGCCAGGCATGGTGGCACAGGCCTTTACTCCCAGCACTTCGGAGGCAGATTTGTGAGTTCAATATCAGCCTGGTCTACATAGTTCCAGGTCCAACCCCATCTCGAAAAGAAAAGAAAAAAAATCTAGCTACAAAGTTCCCAGTCCAAACAAGATTGAAAGGCATACTGTTAATCTGTCAAAAGCCAAAGACTGGGGACTGGGCACGGTGACTCACACCTTTAATCTCAGCACTCAGGAGGCAGAGGCAATTGTATCTCTCAGTTTGAGGCCAGCTTGGTCTATATAGCAAGTTCCAGGCCAACTAGGGCTATGTAGTGAGACTGTCTCAAAACCAAAAGAATGGATCTAAGCATAGTAAAAGGAAGACTGTTGGGTTCTCAGCAGAAACTTCACAGAGCTATAGTACAATAATATACTTCTGGGCTGGAGAGATGGCTAAGTGGTTAAGATCACTGACTGCTCTTGTAGAAGACCCGGGTTCAAATCCCAGCACCCACATAATGGCTAACACAGTTCCAGGGGACTGACACCCTCTTTTGACTTCTGTGGGCATTGCATGATGTGGGTGCTCTCATGTGTGTCAAATAAAAATTATAAATATAAAAATACATAGTATAGGCTGGAGAGATGGCTCAGTGGTTTAGAACACTGGTTGTTCTTGCAGAAGACCTGGGTTGGAATCCCAGTACCCACATGGCAGCTAACAACTGTCTGTAACTCCAGTCCCAGGGATCTGACAGTCTGTTCTGACCTCTGAGGGCATTTCACGGCACGGGTACACTTACCTACATGCAGGGAATACATGAATACACACAAAATAAAAATAAAATACATATATTAAAAAATAACATACTGGGCTGGAGAGATGGCTCAGCAATTAAGAGCACTGATTGCTCTTGCAGAGGACCTGGGTTCAATTCCCAGCACCCACATGGTGGCTACAAACAATCCTTAACTCCAGTTTCAGGGGAATCCGAAGTCCTCTTCTGACCTCCGAGGCCCTGCACGACACGGTGCACTCACATACATGTAGGCAATACACTCATACACATAAAATAATAATAATATTAAAAAAACATCTTTTCCAGAGGACTCGAGTTTGATTCCCAGTGCCTATATATCCGGTGGCTTACTGTAGCTCCAGCTCTGAGGGAATCTATTAGCCTCTGTGAGCACCCACATTGCATATGCACATACACATATCCACATACAGACTTGCATAAAAGAAAAAGTAAAAGACCTAAATACTTCTCAAAAAAAAGGCCTAAAAGTGGCCAACAGGTATATGAAAAGGTACTTACCATAACATCACTAGTTATCCATGAAATGCAAATCAGAGCCACAGTGAAATAGCACTTTAAACCTGCTGGGAACCTGCTGGCAAAAAGCTGAGAATTCCAGGCAGAGTGATGCATACCTGTAATTCACGGACTAAAGAGGCTGACAGAATTACAAGACCTTGTCTCAAAAAAGAAAAATGTAACAACAAAAAGGGTGTAGAGAGATGGAACCGTTGCACATTGCTGGTGGGAATGTGAAGGAGTACAGCATTGTGGAAACCAGTATGGAGATTCCGGATAAAGGTAAAATGGGACCTAATAGTACATACTGGATACATACCTAAGGAAAAAAATCAGTATGTCAAAACAGATCTGTACTCCCATGCTAACTTGCATAATTTGCCAGTTACCCAAGATAGGGAATCAACTTGAGTCCATTAACAGTTGGCTGAAGAGATGGCTCAGTGGTTAAGAACACTAGTTGTTCTTGCAGAAGACCTGGGTTCGAATCCCAGCACCTACATGGCAGCTAACAACTGTCCGTAACTCCAGTTCCAGGGGATCCGACAGCCTCTTTTGACCTCCGCGGGCATTGGGCATTGCATGACACAGGGGCACTTACCTACATGCAGGCAATACACGCGTACACATAAAATAAAACTTTTTTAAAAAGTCCATTAACAGCCAGGTGTGGTGGTGCACATCTGTAGCCCCAGCACTTGGGAGGCAGAGGCAGGTGGATCTCTGTGAGTTCAAGGCCAGCCAGGTCTACATAGTAAGTTCCAGGACAGCTGGGGCTACAGGGAGACCCCTGTTAAAAAAAAAAAAAAAAAAAAAAAAAAAAAAAAAAAAAAAAGTCCATTAACGAATGGATGGATTTTGGAGTTTTTAAATGTATGTATACACAATGAACAATGTATTCAGCCTCAAATAAGGCAAGAAGTGCTTGGCTTATTTCCTGATGACCTGGAAGACATGAAGTGAAATACAAGGCACTGAAAGGCAACTACTGTGTAATCTCCCTTATATGGAACTTAAAAACTTTGAGTTCATTTAAGTAGAGAATAGTGACTAACGGGTGGGGAATATTAGGGGATACTGGTCAAAACATTTAAATTGCAGTGAGAAAGGAGGTTTGAGAGTTCTGTTTTATAACATTACTTTAGTTAGTATAACAATGCTAAATTGCTAAAGGAGTAGATTTTAAGTGTCCTCACCACAAACACAAGGATAGGTATACGGGGTAATGTGTATAGATCAATGTTCCAGTACTAGAGAGGCTGAGGTAGAACTGCCACAAGTTCAAGGCCAGTCTGCTCTACAATTTGAGTCATAGGCCAGTCAGGGCTACATAGTAAGATCCTATCTCAAAAAACAAAAACAAAAATTGAAATTAAAATTTTATTTGTACATTTATTAAGTGTGTATGTGTGTGAGTGCCATCAGTGTGGGAAATCAGAGGACAACTTGGGGGAGTTAGTTCTCTTCCACCATGTGGGTTCTGGGGACTGAACTTAGACCCTTTACCCATTAAGCCATCTTATGGCCCCCAATTTTACTTATTTTTAGGAATTAAGTCAAAGGCAAATCTAATTTAGAATCAATAGTTACTTGAGTATTGGCTGTGTTTGTGTGTTGGGGTGCACTCAGCCAGGTGCAAGTATGTGGGCCACAGGTTGAATGAACAGTCTTGATCAGAGTTTTTAATATTTTAAAATTATTTTTATGTGCATGTGTGTATTGCCTGCACCTGTGTCTTGCAATGCCCATGGAGGTCAGAAGAGGCTGTCGGATCCCCTGGGGCTGGAGTTACGGACAGCTGTTAGCTGCCATGTGGGTGCTGGGATTCAAACCTGGGTCTTCTGCAAGAACCACCAGTGTTCTTAACCGCTGAGCCATCTCTCCAAACCCCATCAATCAGTGTTTTTGAGACGGACTGTCAATGAACGCAGAACTAACTGACTGGCTAGAGCCAGTGAGTCCTTGGGATCTGTTGGTCTCTCCCTCCCCAGAGCTGGGATTTATGCTGCAAACCTTTTACAGGTCCACAGACTGGCACACTCAGCACTTTGTCCACTGAGCCTTTGCTCCAGTCTAATATTAAAAAAATTTTGACATTTTTTTCTTCATGATTAACTGATTAGATACTTTAGGAATCAACTAGTTAAATGCTATGAAATCAGGACCAAATCAGACATTTCTGAAATAGTGAAAATTGTGGAAGTGTTTCCAGTCATATAATAATTTTAATATTTAGCAACACGGGCAGAATTTGTGTTAAACAATCCCAAGGATGTCTTGTTTAAAAGAAAAAGGGGGCTGGGCATGGTGGCGCATGCCTTTAATCCCAGCACTCTGGAGGCAGAGGCAGGGGGATCTCTGTGAGTTCAAGGAGGGAGACCCTGTCTCAAAAAGACAAATAAATAAATAAATAAATAAATAAATAAATAAATAAATAGAAAGAAAATGGGGGAGCTGGGTGTGGTGGCACAGGCCTTTGATCTCAGCACTCAGGGGGCAGAGGCAGGAAGATCTCTGTGAGTTGGAGGCCAGCATGGTCTACACAGCAAATTCCAGGTCAGCCAGGGCTACAAGGAAACCCTGTCTCAAGAAAACTAAAGAACAGCAGGCTAGAGAGATGGCTTAGTGTTTAAGAGCACTGGCTGCTCTTGCAGAAGACCCAGGTTCAATTCCCACACCTATATGGTAGCTAACAACCGTCTGTAACTCCATTTCTAGGGGATCTGACACCCTCTTCTGACTTCCACAGTCACTGCATGACACAGGTGCACTTATATCCATGTAGGCAATATACTCATATACATAAAAATATCTTTTTAAAAGGGGGATAGGAGGAAATAATTTACAAATTTCCTTAGAGACAGCTATTGGGAAAAAGGCAGTTGGTTTCAGCTGTAAAATGGCATAAGCTTGAAAAGTCAGGCAGCAGACACATTTGCTAATGTTCATAGGTAGCTTTATTTGGCTTTTAGAAAACTATATACAACAATCAGAACCATGGTTCTCTTAAATAGTTTTAAATAAAAAGTATGCTAGCAAGAGGAAGAGTCTATTTCTATGGTCAGAACATAAATACTGCCTAATAAAGTAGAAGATAGGAATTTAAGTTAAAAACATTTCTAGGAATGTTAAGAGCTGAGTAGGAACAGCTTGTGGCTGGCAAGTGGCCAGCTCAAGTACACCTAGGAGGAAGGGATTTGGTCTTCCTTTAGTTTACATTTGAAAATGGAATTTAAGATTACATAGCCACCTCTCCAAAGGGGCTGCCTTCAGTAAAACATCTGAATGATGGGAAGCCCTCTGGGAAACACACCCTGCCATTTCAACGGTATTTGGTTGAATTTGGGTATTTTAGGATTACCTGTCAGTCAGCGGTTCAACTGGCAGCAGATACAACAAAACTCAAGGGTTTAGGGGACCCATTAACATAACCTATTTTGGATTAGACTCCTGCTTTCAACATTCTTCAAATGAATTCACAGTATCCAACAGTGTTTGCGAAGATGTGTCCATCTGGCGCCCTTGAAGTCCTATGCAGTTTGAGAAGCTGAGTAAGGAAGCGATAGGAACTGCCTTAGCTCTGTTCCAGCTCTGCCCCTTAGCACGGATCCTCCACTGGTTCTGGGGCTTTCCCAAGTATCAGCCTAATCAGTGCGCCAGCAAAAGGCCAGTCTGTCATGGGATTTCCTAGGGAGTGTAAATGGAACTGGACTGCAGGGTCAACACTAGTAGCCACCTCCTTTCCTGCATTGTCAGATAAGCAAAGCAGTGAAGCAAATGTCATTAGCAACATCAAGCTTTGGAGTCTGTGCGTATGTGTCTGGGTGGGGAAGGTGAGAGGAAACAAGCACATTAGTAGAACTGGAGGTCTGATTAAGAATAGGAGGAGAGAGATCGGTATTTTGTTCTCTGTTCATCTATTTCCTGCTTAGTTTTCTTGATGCAACTAAAGATCTCCTTAAACAGTGCTTTGTACTCTGGAGGTGTGGTAGCGGTGGGAGAACTGATGGGCTCTGGAGTGATGGGTTCCCAGCCACTGGCCCCAGCCTCAGATTGGGTGACCAGTCCTGTCAGGTCCCTGGTCAGCAGTCTGGAGGTCTGCACAGCCTTGTGTGAGAGGGAGTCCTGCTCCTGCTGGCACTTCTTCAGCAGCTCTTCATACTTGACCTTCAGAGCACTGTACTGTGTGTCCACCTCATGCAGAAGGGAGATGCCGCGCTGCTTCACAGCCTTAGCCCTCCTGATGCAGGTCTCCTCGTGGCCCTTCACGATGTCACCTCCTGCCAAGCTGCTGAGTACTGTCTCGCTGCTGCTGCGCTTGAGTGGCTTTCTATGTGTTTCCGGCACCACCAGGAACATCTCCTCCAGCAGGCTCTGGCCAGATTCCTTGAAAGGGACAAACAGAGAATCCGGCACCAGCTTCTCAACACCATTCACAAAAGGATGATCTGCCTGCAGCATCTGCCTCATCTTGGCCACCTCGGTCTCCAGCTCCAGAGCCCGGGTCTGGAAAGCACCGGTGGCCCCCAGCTGCTGTTCCAGTTCGCTGTTCTCCTTCAGCACCAGCTCATATTCCTCCTCCATGCTCAGCCGCTTCTGCTTCTCCAGGCTCAGCTGGGCCTGTAGCATCGTCACTGTCTTCTTCAGATGCTCATTTTCTTCTTCTTCAGGACTTTGTTGGCTTTGCAAGGATGTGATCTTCTCAGCGAACACATGGTCATATACAAAATGTCTGTGGGGGAAATATGGAAACAATATATAAAGGTCAACTGAGAATGCAAAGGAGGCTGTTGAGGTTTTTCAACTGAATCTTTCAAAGGAGTTGTGACACTGTTTGGGTTTTTTGCTTTTTTTTTTTTTTTTTGCCTATTCCACACTATAGCAGTAGTTGAAATGAAACTGTATGAGCCTGGCAAATACTTGAAAGCAAACAGTTTCTGCAACCAGTTTTTTTTCCCCAATTTAAAAGCACTACAGGAACTGGGCATGGTGGCACACACCTTTAATTCTTGCATTCAGGAGGCAGAAGCTGGCAGATCTCTGTGAGACTGAGGTCAGCCTGATCTACAGGGAGATCCTGTCTCAAAAAGAAAAAGTACTACAGAAAATCCACTCCAAAACACCAGCAGAATAATGGCTGCTTACTAGGAAATACACTGGCCCTGAGGTTCTCACCTCTAGTTGCAGACAGAATCAAATGGGTGCTCTTAAAAACCTGGTACCTAGGGTTGGAAAGATGGCCCAATGTTTAAGAGCACTGACAGCTCTTGCAGAGGACTTAGGTTCAATTCCCAATACCCACATGGCAGCTAACAACCATCCATAATTCCAGTTCCAGGGGATTCAATGCCTTCTTCTGGCCTCTGGGCACTGTACAACACAGGTGCACTTACATACATGCAGAGAATGCACTCATACACATAAAATAAAAATAATAAAAAAAAAAACAAAATAAAACAATACCAACCCCCAAAACCTGGCACTCACACCACTGATTCTGACCTCATTTGTCTGCTACTTGGACCTGAGGGTTTAAAATATTCTCCAAGTGATTTATAATATGGAGCCAGGGTTAAGGACTGTGCTGTTAGGACATTTAGCTGGAATACACAGAATCACCTGCACACCTTTAGGTTCACATCTAAATCGAAATTCTGACTGAAGTGTGAGGAAATGCATTTGTACTTTGAAAATCTTCAGGAGCTGGAGAGATGGCTCAGTGGTTAAGAACACTTGCTGCTCTTCTAAGAGAGCTCAAGTTCGGTTCCTAGTACCCATATCAGGCAGCTTACAATCATTCCAGCTCCAGAGAATCCAACACCCTCTTCTACACCCAGGGGCACCCTGCACACACATGGCATACACTCACACAGACATGTATACATACAATAAAATCTTTTTTTTCTTTTAAATAAAATCTTTTTTAAAGAAAGAAAATCTTCATAGTTCCAGGGTAACATACTACATCTTAGAACTTGGGAGGTAGAGGTAGGAAGATAAGGAGTTTGATCTGCTGAGCTACATGAAACCCTGGTCTAAAAACTCAATCTAAAAGCCAAGGATGAGAACCACCAACTGGTGTCTCCTGTTCAGTCCCAGGCAGCTTGTGCATATTTATTTCTTGGCTACTGCGTAGCTGCCTCTCTATTAGAATGAAAGATCATGAGCACACAGATCATGTCTATTTTGGTTCCTGATGTCTGTCATTATCAACTGCAGTGTAACAGGCATTTAGTATTTGTTAAATATTCAAATTCATTACCTCTAAACTATAAAGAAACCTTTAGTTAAAAGCAATTCTGTTTGCCTGGATTTTTGTTCTATTGAAATTTCCAATTTTTCCTTCATCCTAATGTGAAATACAACCTTCAAATCTATACTTTAAAAGCAATGAAAAGGCATTTTCACAGAATTACTGACATCCATGAACTGTTATTGAGACAGCATCTCACTTTGTAGCCCTAGCAGGCCTAGAACTATGTAGACCAGGCAGGCTGGCATGGAGCTCACAGAGATCTGCTTGCCTTTGCCTTCTAAGTGCTGGGATTAAAGGTATGCACCACCACACCCAGCTCTCAATAATATACTCAAGTAGCTGTGTTCAAACCACTGGTGCTCTAGCAGGCACCTGGTGCTCCTTTAAATGGTACTTTCAGTCTGCTGTGATCCAGAGTGGTCAATGACACGGGCTATTCCCAGTGTGCAAATCCCAAGGCAGGCTCTTACTGGCGGAGGTCGTACAGCTCTTTCAGACAGGGGAAGCTGGGTGCTGGTTTCTCTTGGTCACATGCCTTCTGCCTCCCTCTTTCTTGGCTGGATGATTTCAGCTCCTCCACTTGGCTCTGGAGGTGATCAATGTTGGTTTGTAGTAATTCAATTGTTTCCGTCAAGCTGTGAAGGACAGAAGCCAACTGCTACTTGTCATATTAAATTAAGGGCAAAACCACTGAAGGGTGATTAGTTGTGAGCCACTCAAACTGGGCTTTCTTAATTGGAAAGGACTTAATATATCTCCATTCTTCAAAAGGAATTAAACCTTACCCTATACTGTCCAAACCCAAACAGGCACATTTTATTCCAAATTACACTAAGTAACTCCCTTGTAGGCTGTCCTTGATAAAGTCTAGAAATTTTACCTCAGAATTTTTTGTTGCGAGGCCTTGCTGTCAGCAACTAGTTTCTGATTGGTTTCTTCCAGCTCTCTTGCTGTGACATCTAACTGCTCATAAACTTTTGCATGCTGTTCATTCATTTGCCGTAGAAGGTCCACCTGCTTCGTCAGATACTATAAAAGAAGAGTGTGATCAGGTGACAGAAACAGATAAGATAACCTGCATGCGTCAATACCGATTCTCTGGTCCTCCAGTTCCAACTAGTGCTGGGTAAGGGCTGCAGAGCTTCATCTCTGGGCTTTGCACCCTCCTTGCACGGTGATGTTTCTCAGCCCAGAAGCTCCTACCCTCGTTTTAGTTCTTTGTCAAAACGCTGTACTATGCCTATACCCCTGACTGAACTTGATCTCCTGCCCCCTCCAGGCTGGCTGCTGAAACTCTCTATAATCATATGGTTGGTCCCTCTGGTCATTTCTCATCATATTACTCAGGAAACTAAGGGTTTTAGGAGTTCTAGGCCAGGAAACAGGAACAAAGACCAAACAAGTACTTTTCGTTATATCACGATACCTTTTAAACCCCATGAAGTTACCTGTCTTAACAGGAAACAAGCACAAGGTAACCTTGATGCTTAGTTAGTTCCCTTTCCAAAACTCCTGTGTACCATGAGACTAGTCTAATTTTATAAAGCATATGCATAAAATTAATATTCAAAGCAAGATATGATAATCCTCAAGAAGAAAGGCTTGGAAAACACGAAAGTTTAAACAACAGTGTATTTTTCAGGAAAAAAAGAAAAAATCATGAAATGTACGACTTTAGATGGTTTTCACTTGTAAAAAATTAAATTTTTTCTAAGTGAGGCATTCCAGACAAAAATTAGTGAAAAAATACATTAATTTCACCAGATACTTTAATATACAATCAAAACATCTATTTTGTTTGGTTTTTGTTTTTTGGATCCCTCTGGAACTCCAGCTGGCCTGGAACTCTCTATGTGGACCAGGCTGTCATGGAGCTCACAGAGCTCCATCTCCCTCTGTCCAAGCGCTAGGATTAAAGTTGTGCACCACCATGCCCAGCAAAGCCTCCTTGTTTTTATACTATGATAACATAATCCTCATCATCCTTATTCTCATCCTTATTTGTGAGAAACTTACCAGGTTATTTATTCTGGTCTTGCTAAGGCTGCATTCTAAAGACCAAGGATGAGGGGAATAAGCACAATCTCAGTACCAGCTAGGTAACCTGAACCCCCCCCCCCCCCGCTGCCGCCCTTACTCAGTTGCACCTGAACACACTAAAACATAGCATATATCCCGAATAAACATTCCTTTTTTCTCTGGCTACAACCAGAAAGTGGGAATGAGGGTTTGAAGTATCTCCAGTGATCAAATGTCTTTAGACTGAAGACCTGACTTTAAAAATACTTAAGGTATTATATGCAACCCTTCAAACACTTTCAGGGCCAACTGCATTTTTTTGAGATAAAGTTTGCTATGTAGTTTTTTGGGAGAAACTTCCCAGGTTTTTTATTCTGGTGTTGCAAAGGCTGCATTCTAAATACCAAGGATGAGGGGAAAAAGCCAAAACTCCGTACCAGCTAGGTAACCTGACCCCCCCCCCCCCCCCGCTGCCGCCCTTACTCAGTTGCACCTGAACACACTAAAACATAGCATATATCCCGAATAAACATTCCTTTTTTCTCTGGCTACAACCAGAAAGTGGGAATGAGGGTTTGAAGTATCTCCAGTGATCAAATGTCTTTAGACTGAAGACCTGACTTTAAAAATACTTAAGGTATTATATGCAACCCTTCAAACACTTTCAGGGCCAACTGCATTTTTTTGAGATAAAGTTTGCTATGTAGCTCAGGCCAGATTGGCTTTGAACTTTTGGTCCTCCTGCCTCAGCCTCTTGAGTGCTGGGATTACAGGTATGCACCACTATGGCTGGCTTTCAACAGACTTCTTTCAAAGAGCAGGGCTAAATGATACTCAATGATATAATACAGCCCCTTTTCAAATATACTTATATAACTCAGAGGCAATGTGTTGAATAAACACTTAACCTTTCTTTAACTTCAACTTTTTCATCTGAATCTCTTGGGGTCAAAAGTGTTCTGGAAAAGTCTTTGAATTAACAACAACAAAACAATAGAAAACTCCCCAAACAAACAAATCATGGTATTATTCATAACTTGTGCTTTTATAATACCCCCACCACGTGTTGTCTGGCCAGCACTTCGTAATTAAGCGTTCATATTTCTGCACAAAAAAAGTATGAAAATTATAAATAGCCTCAGATCAGCTGCTTCAAATGAATTTGTGGTAAACTTCAGGAAAAAAAAATCTAGGTTAGTGGAATTTTTGGGGTTTAGAAATGGTGAAGGTTGTGGACATGTTAGTACCTGCCAGGTAATGGGCATGACTAAATGCGTTATTAGCACGAAAAACAGTGCCTATGAAAGCCTATGTTTATTTTTCACTGTCTGAACCCCCTTCAGTTTCTCTTGGTTCCTTGGCAAGCAACCACCTCAGCTTCCCATGGGAAGCCTCTTTAATCCTGTAGGAGGAAGTCCTCCAGCTAGTGATGCCACTGTGGCTTCTTGTCATCCACAGTAATGTGTTTAATTGTCTAGGAATACTGGATTAGAAAAAGGGCTTAGGCTCAAATGAAGGCATATGGTAGGGTTGACAAGATGGCTCAGTGGGTGAATGTGCTATCTGATTTCAACTCCTACAGCCCAAATGGTGGAAGTTATCCTCTGACTTCCACGTTTTTTTTTTTATTTTGATATATCACAGTGAAAGATTTATCGTCCTCTTTTTTTTTTTTTTTTTTTTTTTAAAAAAAAAAAAAAAAAAAAAAAAAAAAAAATCCCCCATATATTTTATACTTTATATCAAGTAAAAAGTTCCAAGTATGCTTTGGGATTAATTCACAATAACCTTAAACAAGGCAAATGTATAGTCACACTAATTAATTTAAAATAGAAGCTACTCCTGCCCAGTGCCTGGCAGTCACACATCCTCCACATGAGGCACATCTGCCTCATAGAAGGCATGTAGAAAGCCAGTTTATGAATGGAGTCATTTAGCGAGGACAAGGTCATAGAGGAGGCAGTGGTTTCATAGCTCAGAACACAGGCTTGGGGGCCAGCACTCAAGTCCTGCCTTGCCACTGGCACTTTTTCTGAGGTTTCCTCATCAGTACCTCACGGGGCTATAAAGATTAAAATATATGTGACCAGAATATGTGGCTTCAAAATATGTACCTTTGCCTAAGGACTACTGAAGAGGGTTGGGAAGCAGATTCAGGGAAGTTCTCTGCCCTCCCTGTCCATCCGCCCCCGTCTACCCCACCTATTAGGAAGTACGAAGGTTAATCACTGAGTACAACTTTAAACTTCTGGGCCAGGAGCCAGCACCAGGGGAGTCCATGTTATACAGCTCTACTAGTTTTTATCTGCCCCTTCTCTGCCTTCTGGTAAGTTGCCACCCCTAGAGACTGAAAGTCCTTTTCCTCTGTCTTGTCACTCTAAGAATTTCCTGTTCTTACGATGTGTAAGATGGACTCCAAAGCCACCTCTTAGACAATTACTCATTTCAGTATCTCCGATGTATGCCTATGAAAACACATGTTAATAAACTTGCTTGTTTTACTCTCTTGTGTTTGTAGACCTGTAGCCACATGTAGCCTCAGCTGGCCTGGAAATGGCTATTGTCTTGCTCCTGTTAAACTGTCTTTCTTGGAGCTGGAGATGGCTCACTGGTTAAGAGCACTGACTGCTCTTGCAGAAAACTCAGGTTTGTTCCCAGCATCTACATGGGTTAACAATAGCCTTGAACCCCAGTTCCAAGAGATCTGATGACCTACTCTGGCCTCCGAGGGTGCCGGGCACGTGGTACACTTATATACATCCAGGCAAAACACTTAATGCACATAACAAAACAAAACAAAACCCAAAAAACCAAAATGGTCTTGCTTAAAGGGGATCCACCATGCATTTACATATGATAAAGGTATTACATTTAAAAATTTTATATATGTGCAAAGCTAAGATGCACTTGGAAAACTGCAGGGTCTCTGGATCCTTTCTACCCCAAATGCTGATTCAGTGAGCCAAGATTCTGCAAATTTGGCAAAAACCTTGGTGATTATTAGTACATATAGATCACAAATCATACACTTAGTAGAGAAATGTAGATAGTAGACATGGAAAATCCTCAAAGTCCCCCTCCCCTGACCCCAAGTAGCTTTTTTCTCTTAACATTTATCAGATAAGCTCTGAAGTACCTGTGCTCATGTGTCCTTTGAAGGGATCTGAGTCCAGAACCACTTGCATTCTAGGCAAGGGCTTTCCATCTGAGCTGTAACTCTAGCCCCAAACTAAATTTAAGTTACCATTTCCTCTTCCCTTCCCTTGGTTGCCGCCATTCACTAAAATTAGGTTATATTGTCTGATGTAGCATCTTTTGCCATAGTATTTTAATGTTCTTACAACCATTAGTTCCTTAAAATTACAAATTACCTTAATTTTGAGTGTTCCTTCATTACTTTCTCAGTCTACTCAAATTTTGACTTTTTACAGATAACTAAATCCTACCTGCTATATTTTAAAAGTATTATGGATAATTTCAAACATATAAATGCTGAGAAAACAAGTTTATTAAGCTCTCATGCCCATTATCCCATTCCAACAATTACCAACACAGAGCAAACCTTACTTCACCTATACTGTCCCCATCCTTAGTATCTTCCAGTAATTCAAGGCATCCTCACTCAAGTATTCATCTCTCTATTTTTGAGATAATTTTCATTTCAACAAAGCCATAGCTCCTAAGGAGAAGCCTCACAGCCTCAGCACCACCATACTCCAGCATTTCCTCCACCATACCTTCAGTGTTTTTGTTAGCTTCCGGTGGGCGTCAGCTATGGACTCTTTTTAAACTCAATAGATACCTCTACCTTAGATGCTCACATATGGCAAGCACCTCCCTCTTTTAAGGCCTTTATCCTACCCTCCCCTCTCCCAGGATATGCCTCTTAATATATATATGTATATATTACATCCATATATATAATAATATAATGATTTATGTGTCTGAATTTGGGTATATGAATGTTAATGCAGGCACCTGTGGAGGTCAGAAGCATCCGATCCCGGTGG